AAGGCCGTGCTCAAGCAACAAGAGGAGCTGCAGGTTCTGAGACAGGACACAGCATTCATACTTTTCATGAAGCCGGAGCTAACTCAGCTCTGCATCATTTATACAAGACGGCGGTCAATTTCAAAACCAAAACCGAATCCGATCCACAGTGGCAGTCCGGCAAACTACCTCTCAGGATGGTGCTGACGGTAGCCTTGTTCGAGGAACTGGTCGATCGCCTGAATCAGGTAAAGAAAGTCCAGGAGGAGCCATGCTGCCCAACCTTAGATTGTATAAGAGGTTCTCGCATCTCAGCATGTCAGGATGCATATGAGCCCTGGTTGCGCAATCGAGGCTCCGCAAGCCTATATTGCAGTAGTATACGTGCTGCGGGAGTCCTTGTGCACTTTTGATTACCAGCCGCCTCCGCCGGAAGTGGCCGCCAACGGCTTGTACATAGAGCTGTCCTGGTGTCGAAGTCTCAGCGTCGGCAACCATGTTGTGCACATGCCTGGCATGGCGCATTGCACTATAGGAAGACCGCAAGGCGACTGTCGCTACGTAGGCTCGAACCGATCTCTTGTGAGGATTTCGCCCAAACTCCCGACCCCCTAGGGCTCACCCGCCAGAAACCCAGCAATGGAGCAGCGTGGCGTCCACAGCGAAGTGAACGACATCCTAGACTTGCTGGAGGCAATGGAAGCAGCCGGCCACTGCGAGAGCGAAGACGACACTGACGAGGAGTACGAGCAGATGGACATGGACGGCGAGGTGGTCATACTCTTGGACACCGACGGAAGGTACCGCGAGCTGCCACCACTGACGCCACGATCCCCGGCACGCCAGCTCCTCAGCCACGGAGCACCACAGGCTACCGGCCCGACGACTCAGGTGAGGTCGGTTTCATTCCACCTCCAGCGGGCACGCAGGCGGCGGGTAATCCAACCCACTGTCCTACACCAGACAAATAAGAAGCAAAGGACGTGCACCCGGGACCTCGGCGATGTCAGCACGCCGGTCCACGTGTACCGCGGCGAGGACGACGAAGGCGTCGAGATCATACTGGATTGGCACCTAAGCCTGGGCGAGGCCATGCAAAGAGCGGAAGATCCGGGCTGTGGACACGAGCGCTGGCACACGTCGCACATCGTGATCGAGCTCGTCAGCAGGGGATGACAGGCCCAAGCACCCTGGTAGCAGGCAGGACGAAGTCTCACCCGGCGAGAGCGCGGCATCGCATCGGCCGATTGATTCTAAAAGCCCGCCCGACACGGCCGCGAGCTTTCTTTGGATCCCCTCAAGAAGCCTTTAGGATCAACCCTCTTTGGAGCCCCTCGAAGCCTTTAGGATCGACCCTGTCTAAAGCCCCTCGAAGCCCTTAGGATCAACCTTCTTTGGAGCCCCTCAAAGCCCTTAGAGTCAACCTTCTTTGGACCAACCTTGGTAGTCATCCTGATGTGTGTGTGTGTGTGTGTGTGTGTGTGTGTGTCTGTGTGTGTGTGCCTCTCTTGTCAGCCTCTGGCCCCTTACTGCGCATTCAGGTCGCTAGTCTTCTTTGTGCAGGCTGGGCACTTGGGGCTCGGTCTCGCGCTTACCTCTGCATGGGGGTTTTATTCAGTGAGACTCCAAACAGGTCCCGGTGCGCCGGCCATCCGTATGGCCCCAATCCTGAGGAGCCATGGCTTACACGAGATGTGCAGCTTTAACTTGCGTTAGGTCCGTAGTTCTGGAGAGAGCACGGGACCTTACGCTCCTGGCTAGCTTCACCTCGTGTTCACGCTAGCATTGTGGCACGACTCAGGTTTCCCAAACTGGTGGGAGCCTGAATCTTCCAAACAGGTGGGGTCCTGAATCTTGGTGAGTGCTGCCACCAAAGCGAGTTCACCTCACACTCGCTAAGCGAAAGCAAGTATATCCTGTCAGGAGGTATTGGCCGCCGAAGCTATTGGGCCTTGTGGTGGCCCCAAAGGCTTGCTTTGGAAACTTACCACTTCTATGTCATTCTGCACAGGTCTGATCTGGAACCTCGTCTACGGCGACCATTCTTATAGGCAGGAGAGGACGTTTTGAGCTCGGTACGTCGCTTCTTGCGTGCTGTCGGCTCTTTGGTTGCGAACGGCGTTACAATGTTACAGTCTCCATATACTGTATACAGAGAACCAGGGGTGGACGCCGGCGTTACAATGTTACGGTTTCCATATACGGTATACAAGGAACCCGGGGTCGACACCGGCGTTACAATATTACAGGTCTCCATGTATTGTATACAAAAAAAACTGGTGTGGACCCCGGTGTCTTGCAAAAGAGATTCTGGTTCGCGGATGCCTGTGGTAAGGTTTTTGTCTTGGCAAGTGCCTGCCCTGCCCTGCCTCTGCTGTCTTGAACCGGAAACTTGTTAGATTCAGCTATCTTTCTTGCGAAAGGGGCGATGGTTCGCGGATGCCTGTGGTAAGGTTATTGTCTTGGCAAACACCGCGGCGATGGATCGCGGATGCTTGTGGTATGGTTTTTGTCTTGGCAAGTACTTTTTCTCCTACTACTTACTTCTTCTGCTACTACTGCTGCTACTCCCATTCCTAGCACTACTGCTACTATTGCTACTACTACCGCTACAACATATTACGACAACTACTACTACTACTGCTACTACTACTACTACTACTACTGCTACTACTGCTTCTATTAGTATTACTTCTACTAATCCTAGTACTACTTCCCAAACCACTACGGCTCCATCTCCAAGATCGGTAGCAAACACCGCTTGTGTGCCAGCAATGTGCTGTTACGCTTGTGTGCCAGCAATGTGCTGTTACGCTGCGGCTGATCTTCTACTACAGAGCTGTCGCCGCCATATCCAGCTTCACTTCAGGTGTAACTTGAAACTTGAGTTCGGCTACTTGCGCGGTCCTGTCAGCTGCTTGCGCGAATGCATCGCCCCTTTGATGCCGGCCCTGTCGGCTACTTGCGCGAATTGGATGGACGGATGTAGGTATGGATGTATGCATCTGGAGTCTGTTGTGAGATTTATCCCTAAACACTAAGCCCAGCACCGAAAAGAACAAACTCGCCAGAACTGCACTAAACCTTCAAGCCCGTGTTCCAACCTTTGTTGATCATGCCACGTTGGGGGTGAGATGGCAAACTTACCGAGTGATAGCAGCGCTTCTCCGTATGGGGCACAGGGCCTGCACAGACCTTTATCACACACTCTTGAGAATCGGGGAAAAATGGTGGCTCACAGATGATTCCGTTGCTTTTCACTTCGACAATCTGCGTACGTGCTGATATGCCTCCTTGAACACTGCTGTGGCTGAACCCTGCAAGGAAGGATAGGGTTTAGGGGTTTCGGGTATAAGTTTAAGGTTTAGCGGTTTAGGGTTTGGGCAGGTTTATGGGTTTAGGGTCAAGCAGCACTCCAGACCCCCGTCATACCGCTAAAGTCTCTGTACGACATCCTTGCTCCCACAACTTCACAGCGCGCCATGTGACCTCCGAATAGCCTCGAAGTTTGATCTTAGTTACCAGAACAGGGGTATTTTTATTTCCTTCTTGTGGTAGCTTAAAGTGAGCTCCTTAACAGATCCTAATTAAAACGTTGGTGGGATGCAGGACCACTGTCGCCGCACTCTTCCAGGCTAACTACACATGGCACCTTGGCTGGCTGCGGGGTTTACGGTTTATCCAGCTTAATGTATCAAGAATAATTCAGGTTCACACATGAATTATAGTATATACTTTATATACCTTATAGTGCATCTTACAATATGTATGTATGTATGTATATATATATATATATATATTTAGTGGTTCAGGGTTCAGGTAGCTTGTTAGGATCGCTGAAACCCCGAGATTGCGTTGCTAACAACTGCTATGGCCGTCGATGCTAAATCATACTGCCCTTAACCCTAAACCCTGCTGCTGGAAGTGGTGGTGGTTGTGAAGACCCGCCCACAGACCCAAGCTAGCGCTGAACAGGTGCGCCAAAGGCTTTCCCAAGGCCAGCGCGGGAATTCTCGCGGTTGGGAGTTTCCGAAGCACCGTTCGGGTTTAGGGCCAAATGCCTGTTGTACATCCTACTCTTGTTCGGAACGCTTACATGCGCTCCAAGCATGTGCAGTGCGAGTTACGTTTTGCCGACAGTCCTTTGTAGGGGTCTTTGAAAACTCCTCGCCCGGATCGTCTGCAGTGGCTTCTGGCATAAATCCTTGGGCCTCAAAGCCACAGGAATTCCCTAGAGCTTGAGTGAACCCCCTTAGACCCTAAATCCCAGAAGCCCTAAACCCCAAACTCTAAACCCCGAACCCTAGACGTTTTACCCTAAAGTCCCATAGACCCTGAATCCTGGGCAGTACGGCACCTTTGTAAAAGGACCCTAGAAGGGACCCTAGTCTAGAGAACTAGCGATATACTATCGTGAACTCCAAAACCTTCTCCTAATTATTGAGGCTCCAACATTAGGTTGTCTTCTTCACTGAATGCGGCGGGGGGGGGAGGGGAGGGTGTTACGGGTTGATGATATAAATCCTGCATTACCTTCAGGATCCTAAACTGTGGGAATTATGGTATACTCCTTATAATGGGTAATGCAGGTTTTTATATCATCAACCGTAGGGTTTCAGGCTTGGGGACTAGCGGGTGAGGGTGGAAGGCTCTAGGTTTCGGTCGACGGGGCTGGGCTTTGATGATGGTCTTCTCGTACTGGCGCTCCGCTTGCTGTCGAACCCTGAATCCTACTAAACCTTAAACCCCACTAAACTATAGAAACACCCTACGAAACCCTACAAAACCCTACAAAGCTTTGTTAAACCCCCGCAAAACCCTCCTAAACCCCACAAAACCCTAGACCCTCAACCCCAAAACCCCCTTAAAGCCTAAACCCCCGCAAAACCCCACAAGACCCCAGACCCTCAACCCCTAAACCCCCCCTAAAGTAGCCTCAACCCCCGCAAAGCGGATGTCAAATCCAGGGAAGGCTCAAGGGTTGCGCTTTGGCCCCTGCGCTTCCGGCCACGCAGTAGCTCATGGATCCGAAGGAGGCTCGAGGTTGGGGCTTGGGGTTTAGGGGCTTAGGGTTTAGGGGTTTAGGGGTTTAGGGGTTTAGGGTTTAGGGGTTTAGGGTTTAGGGGTTTAGGGTTTAGGGCTTGGGGCTTAGGGTTTGGGGTGTAGGGCTTGGGGTTTAGGGTTTGGGGTTAGGGTTTAGGATTTACTGTAGGGTTTAGGATTTGGGGTGTGGGGTTTAAGGTTCAGGGTTTAGGGATTTGGGACTCGGGTTTAGGGTTTGGGGGCCACCTAGTAAATTTTCTTCGTGAAACTCGTACTCATGAAGCCTCGGAACACCTTGTTCAAAATCCTACTGAAGCCCATGAGGTCTCTGAAAGAAAAGAGTCGAAAATCCATTCGAGCCTGTTCGGGAGCCTCTCTACAACTCGACTTGAAGGCTCATGGGACTTAGTAAGTAAGGTTATAAGTAAGTTATAATTAGGATAACCCCACTTAGGGGACTTATAACCCCAGTTATAACCTACTTACTAAGTCCCATGATCCTCTAAAGAACCCCAAGACTCGGAAGCAGCGACTTCCCCGCTAGTACTAGACCCGGAACCCTGATAAACCCTGGTACACCCTAATTACTCTAACAGACCCGAAGGAACCCTGACAAGCCCCAGCAAACCCTAACACATCATCTTGGCGTTCTTCTGGTTGGCTCTTAGGACTTTAACTTTTTTGGGTTTCTGTATGAACTATAGTAAGGAGGCTAAAACGTTGACTTTTAGGAGGGGTGCAGAAGTCAGCCAAGTTATTCTAAAGCAAGGCAAGCCCGTTCGGATCCTGATGAGCCCAAATCTCTGAGCCATGTAAAGCCCTCCACCCCTACAGCCCGATACCCGAAACCCTAAATCCTAGAGAGCGCTCATAGAGTGCACTCGTCCGAGTTCTGACTTCACTCAAAAAAAAAGAGAGCCCTCATGCTAACCCTTATCTAGTACAGATCTCAACCCAAATAAACCCTCAAACCTCAGGGGCGTCCGGGCAGCCGGCCGGGCTCGGCTGGGAGCAGCACACGGCCCGGTTCGTCACGTGGAGTCCTGGCAAGCGCCGGAGCCAGCATCAGCGTGAGCTTTGGCGGAGACTTTCGTATACTTTGAGCAACAAAGGTGCTAATCGGAGATTTTTTTGGCGTGTTTGAGGGTTGTAGAGCTTTGAGGCTTTCAAGTTGCATGGTTACGGTGCCCAAGCCTTTTTCTGATTCTCAAGGCTCCTATCCTATACTATGTGGCGACGGAGCGCACTCGGGCTTTACCGGGTGTACCACTGTTATTACTACATATTGTTGCTCTTAAGATTATCACTATTCGCACAGCCTTACTGCTATTTCCACTTTCACTACTAAACAGCAACATGGCGCAGCTGTGTATCGTCTCTTGGAAGCAGCTGAACCGTGGGCGGCTGAAAGAGTCCAGCCGCACACAGCCCGGCTTGAGCAAACCCTATAAGACGCCACGAAAACCTACGAAGCCATACCCATACCTTCGGTACGGCCCCCATTCAGTAATAGTTGAACAATATTCTTAAAACAGATATATTAGGACCTTCATAGTAGCCCTATTATAGACTCTTACTGTATGGGGGCATTACCTAACCCATACCCTCGACCCAGCACGCTGCAGGGCTAACTCTTCGGGTTTAGGCGTTCAGGGTTTAGAAGTTTAGTGTTTGGGGTTCAGGACATCCAACAACAGCTCCAGGCACCCCAAACCCTAAACCCCTTACCCCCGACACCTGAAACCCTAAGCCCCAAGCCTTTAACTCTGAGGAAGGAGTCTCTCGACATCCTGCGCGATGCCTCGAAATCCACTGCCAAGGCACTGGAAGTTCAGCAGGCGCGATTTGTTGGGGTTTCGGTTTGAGTTTTTTGTTTTACCGGTATCTTAGGGTGTTAAGGGGCTTGGAGATTTGGGGTATGTAGAGTGTAGGGCTTCGGGGCTTTAGGGTGTGCGATTCAGGCTTTGGCTAAGGAACCTGTGCTGATTTTTCAATATGTGGGCTCAGTTTCGGGCTCGTAGCATTACCGGGGTTTGGAGTACCATACTTGAATGCTTTATTTGGTGCTTGTTCCTTAAAGGAACCATTCTGAAACACATGTCTATACTTTTTTCTCCTTGGTTGCTTCAAAGTCCAAATTAGGTTTTTTTTACTTTTCTTCTGTTCGTGTGTTCCCGGGCGTTGTAGGTTTTAGTAAGGGCATAATCTACATCTCGGATTTAGTTACTCATGGTATCCCTGAGGGGCTCCTGAATATAGACATGCCACAATTCAAAGGGGAAAAGGAGGGACCCTTAATGGGGACCCCTACCCTATAATGGGCTATATATGTGGTATATATAGTAGCTATGTTAAGGGTCTATACCTAGGCGTCCTTATTAAGGGTCCTTTTACCCTTGGAACAATGTACGCCAAGATCCTTTTCCAGTCAGTCCAGGCCCCTGTATGGGGCGGTTCTCTAAACTAAGGTCCCTTCTTACATCCCCAAAGTAGTACGGGCACCCTCATAAGAAGGACCCTCAAAGGGATCCTAGTTTAGATTATAGTACCCTTCTAGAAATCCTACAGATAGAAACCCTTCTAGATCCCTTTAGGACCCTAAAAGGGAGCCTAGTTCAGAGAACTACCCACGCTGTTAATCTGTTAGAGTCAGCAGCGTGGCCGATGTCAAGCCGTGACAGATGGCCGAGAGTTTTACGGTTTGGGGATTCAGGGTTTAGGGCTTTAGATTTTAGGGTTTTACGGTTTTTGCAGTTGGAGGCACTTAATTCCGCAGGGTTGGGGATTACGGTTTAGAAATGCTGCGGAATGTCATTGCAGCCCTGAGCGAGGCCAGTGTGTGTAGAGGTGTCTGTCAAAACGCCCAAACCCTGAAACCCTGAACCTTAAAAGCCCAAGGCACTAAAGCGTTGAGGGTTGGGGAAACCCTACACCCTTAGAACCTGCTTGGGTGTTTCCGAAAATTGGGGGGTACCTTATTTTGGGGTCCTTATTATGAGGATCCTACTATTAAGGGTACCGTATTAGGGTCCCCTATTTTCGGAAACTCCCACTTGGCGCTCTGAACAGGATGCCAGGGCAGCAGTCGCTGGCATGAAGGAGCCCGTCTTTTTTTATTTTTTCTTTTCTGGAGGTTTAGGGTTTTGGGAGGGTTTGGCTGTGTTGTTAGGGTTTCTTGTTCGACACCTTGATTCTGACGTGTCTGCTCCTACTCCTGCCACGATTTTCTTTTTTTTCATATTGGTTACTCTTAGTTTTAATCCTTCCACGTACTACTCCGCGACTTCTACTGCTACTGCCTCTGCTATCAGCTCCTGCAACTGTGTCTATGCTGGTGCTGCTGGGACTGCGTCCCCCACCGCTGCTCTGGCTACGACCATGGTGGCGGCGATCAATATTTATTAAGGATTAGCAGAGTGCCAGCTTTGTCAAGTCAAAACAGCATGTGCAACATCAATGACGATCTGCATGGAGGTGATCCCGGCTACAGGAGCCCCAGTCCCAGTCTCGAGGCTATGGTAGTGCTCGCAGTAAAGACGCGGTATGCGGCGGTCGTCGTCATCGTCGTCCTGCTCGTCGTTGCTGTTGTCGATGTTGTCGTCAGCATTACTGCTGTCACCATCGTCGTCGCTGTGGTAACAACGGTAGCACCAGCGTGTAAAGTTACAAAGCCTGAAACCGCAACTGACAATCAGAGTCTTGCTTGCTGCTTCAAGACTGCCAGTGTCTAAACGATTAAGCCCCAGATTCTGTTCTACTCACAGCCGGAACCCTTCTACACCCTTTTTACAAAAAGCTGTCAGGCCTCGCAAGATTCCTGCTAAGTGAACCTTTGACATGTCATCTGCTCCTAGGGCCGATGCTGTGAAATCATGCGTTCTGTGGATGATGAAAAGAGGGCACAATGCTACGGTCCTTGATGAAGATGTCTGACCTATTGAGTTTCCGAAGCCCTACACCCTAAACCCGGAGCCACGACGCCCTTAATCCTCAACCCTAAACCCTAAACCCCATAAGCCCTAAAACGAGATTCCCGGCGTGGTCTTGGTCTTGGCCAGGAGGCGGCAGAGCGGCTCGAGCAGGCCACGACGGCTGCTGACTCGACGTCTCTCGGCATTGTAGGGTTGACTCGAAAATTTTTTAGGGGGCCACGGCTTGATGTTAAGAGCCGCGATAAGTGCCTTCTTCTCTGCGGTTTGGTGGGGTTTCAAAGATGTTCGGATACACAGCTTCGGTTTAGAGCTTCCGGCCAGCATCCCTTCTTGAATTCTGAAGCATTTGCTGATTTTTTTCATCTTTTCTGTAGTCGTAGTCGTAGAAGTCGGAGCAGCAGCAGCAGCAGCAAGTGGACGAGGCGGAAGAGGAGGAGGCGCATGAGCACCAAGCCCCCGCCGCCACAAAACTAGCAAGAAGAAGAATTCCCCTAATATCGCTTGGCATACTAAGGACCCTAACTAACCATTGATATTGGGGGAGCTAAGGAGCCAGGGATGATGATAATCTCTATTCAATAAGGAGCTAAAGAGCCAAGGGAACCACCAAAACCGCTGGTTAGCTAAGAATCTACCACTAACTGGTGACCACAAGGGTTCTATGAAATCAGCCGTACGAATTCATCACAGGAGCAAGATGACCAGCTCCTTAGATGAGAAGTGGGAGGCCGGGTTAGCTTGACGGTTTAGGGGTTTAGGGTTTAGGGTTCAGGGTTTAAGGTTTAGGGTTTAGGGTTCAGGGTTTAAGGTTTAGGGTTTAGGGGTTTAGTTTAGGGTTTAGGGTTCAGGGTTTGGGGTTTAGGGTTTAGGGTTGTGCATGCCAGCCTCTGGAGGCTTCAGGGTTTAGGGTGCTTTTGCAAAAGGGTTCTTGTACAGTAGGGTCTTATCGTCCCGAGGCCCCTACATCCTAAACTCCTCACCTCTTAAACTCCTAAACCCTACACTCTAAGCCTCTAATCCTAAACCCTAGCGTGGTTCTGTTTTGCTGTTGGGGGTGGTCTGGCTTTCGGGGCCGTCTCGGGCCTGACCACTTTTTTCACATAGTCAGTAGGGTTTAGGGAAGGTGTAAGGTTTGGGTTCTAGGGCTCTTATAGCGCTGGCTCCTGGGCCCTGAAGCCATCACCGCACGGGTTAGGGGTTTAGGGTTTAGGGCTTACCTGTGGGACGCGTTGGACAGACAGATGGAGATTTGCAGGAAAGAAAGCAGTACTGTAAAACCTACATAAGCAGTAGGATCCCTCTTATGCCGCACCTTAAACACCAAACCCTCAACCCTAAACCCTAAACGCACGACCCTGAATCGTTTACTAGTATGACGAGCCTTAAAGAAGGGAGCCGTGAGTTTGGAATTTTCTGACTTTCGTCCGCCCACTTAGGGTCTAGGATTTACTGTCAGTTAAGGTTTCAGGGAGCACTTCAAACCTTTCCTTTTTACTATTATTATTTTTCTTTTATTGTTTGTACCATCAGTAATCTCAGTATACTTGCCGTAATCTGCACGATACTGACTTGTATTGTTACCCGGCTTGAAGTTTAGTTCCATTATGACCGTTGCTAGTGTTGCAGAAGAAATGCGAAACCCCTAGTGCCCTAGTGTCTTCAAAAGGGTTTAGGTTAGAAGCTGCCCCCACCCTGTAATAGTATACCAGTATTACAGGGCGGGGGCCCCTTCCAAGGTTTAGGATTTAGGGTTTAGGGTTTAGCACGTTTGAGCCTCTTCGGGGACCGTTTGCCCTTGCAGGAGTTCAAGAGGAAGTTCGACGAGCTCAACCGCATGGCCGTCGAGAAGGAGGGAGTTTTCTAGGTGTTGTGTCGCTGCTTTTTCATTTTTGCTTTATCGTGTCTTAAGGGCATCTATGGTTCTTTAGCACGGGGTCTGAAGAAATAGTGAACATGCCTTCTTTTGAGTCCCATCTCGGCCCAAGACAAGTGTACTAGAATGCCACAAACCCCTAGTTTCAATTCTCGAGCCCCTTCTTGGGGTTGATTGCTTTAAGCGTCCTCTAGTTGCTCATCATTTTGTTTCTGGGCAGTGGGCCATCCGGCTTGTACTCTCCAGACGTTTACAATCTGCAGGGCCGGAGAATCCCGGAGAATAGTCCAAGGGTGAGCGCAAAATCTAGAAGCCCACTTAGTACGACTCAGGGTTCATTGTGTTATATCATGCTACATGAAGCCCTGCTCTAATTACCAATATGCCCCCCCCCCCCATAACAAATCCGGATGCCCTGGATGCCCTGGAAAAAGCGTGACTCCATCCTTCAAACCCTTCAAACCCTCGTAAACCCTAAACTCTCAAACCCTAAGCCCTAAACCATAAACCTGTAAGCCTGTAAATCCTCGACCCCTGCAGTCCCAACCAGAACCAGCCAAATCCCACCAAACGCAAAACACCGCCTGCCAACCCTCAACCATAAACCCTAAAGACCTTTGCCTTAAGACCAACCCAAAGACCTACCGTTGTAAGGACTTATACAAAATGGAAATCGTAGGCAGGTGTTCATAGGGTTCAGGTAGGGGATTCAGGTAAGCCCTAAACCAGCCCTCAGCTCTACACCCTAAACCATTACGGCCCCTACATCCTAAACCCTAAACCCCTAATCCCTCAACCCTAACCCCTAAGCCCCTCAGCCCTAAACCCCAAGCCCCTAAAGCCTAACCCCTAAACTCCTAAACCCTCGACCCTCAACCCTCAACCCTAAACCCACCCAAAGACCTGAACTTGTGGGAGTTTCAGGATTAGGGCTTCAGGGATTGGGGTCTGAAGGGCTAGGGTTTTTTTGGGCGTTTCGGGCCTGTTCAGAAAATATGGAAGCCTAAGCCCCTACACCCCTAAAGGCCCTAAACCCCAAACCCCGAAACTCCTAACCCCTAAACTCCTAAACCCTCAACCCTAAACCCGCCCAAAGACCTGAATCCTAAAGCCTAAACTCCTAAACTCCTGAACCCTCAACCCTCAACCTAAACCCTCAACCCACCCAAGTAAACCAGGTGATGGGCCTCGGTGGTCTGTCCTCATCAGGCCGGCTTTGAAACGGTTCAGGGTTTCTGGTGGTTTAGGATTTGTAAGGGTGGGGGTTGGGGTTCTAAGGTTGAGGGTTTAGGGTTCGAGGGGTGAGGGTTAGGGTTCTAAGGTCGAGGGTTTAGGACTAAAAAGGGTGAGGGTTTAGGTTTTGAGATATTTTTTTGAGGGGTCATTTAGGGCCGATTTAAGCAACTTAGAGAGTTCAGAGCTTTTGGTTTCGACTTCGGGTGTTTAAGTCTGAGGCTAAAACCCGCCAGTCGTCAGCAGGGCTTGGGGAGAGCTGTGTAATATAGGGGCCTTACATAAGTACCTGTACTTATTTTGGGGGTTCCTTCTTGTAAGTACCTATACTAATGATTAAGGCCCCTATTGTGGGGATTACTTCCAGGTTTTAGGATTTTAACCCCCGAGCCCTTAAATCTTAAACCCTGAACTTCTAAGCCCGACACCCTGAGGTCTTAGTGCTGAGGCTCCAGAGTTCAGGCCGCAGAATCGAGAGGTCACAACTCCGAGACTGTCCCAGCGCATGAAGACAGCTCGAGGAATGCGGTTTAGGGTTATATAAGAGGTTTTGGGTTTAGGGGTTTAGCGTTTTCGGTTTAGGGTTGAATGGCAGAAGCCAGACCTGAGCAGCTGCATCTGCAGCTGGGAGACATGCTCGTATGGCAATGCCTGAAGCAAGAGCTTCCAGTGCTTGTGCTTTGCCTGATGTTGTGGCGGCCACCTTCCGCGTCCTGCCATTCCTAAAGGCAAGGCGCGGACCAACCCCAGTCAAGAAGGTCGACTACAGCGTTTCACCGCTCGTTTGTTGAAAGTTTGGCTCGAGATCATGCGGAAGCTGCGGAGGTCCGCAGCTAAAGGGTGCCTAAGCGCGCAACGCAGTGTGAACGGCAGTGACAAAGCAACTTTTGAAGTCCCCGAACCCTAAACCCTAATTAAAACAAACAACCCCTATCTCCACTGAAGAGTATACGGTTTAGTTAATGTTCCTATAGCCTTGCAAGAAGCATGTAAATCCCTGCAAGGAGCCCTACAAGCTTACGTAAATTCTTGCAAATCCGTTACGTCACCGATACACAAGTGCTGTAAGAAGACAATTGAAGCTTGTGGCCCTTTTCAAACCCGTTGAAGGCTGTATAAAATCCTACGACCAAGTTAGATCCCCCTAGTTTCCAAACCCTACACCCTAAACGCCAAAGCCTTAAACTGCAATGCTACAGGATTCTAGCATAAGTTCGCTCGGGCACTTGAACCGCAGTGCCAGCGGCTCAGAAATCGACATGTCACTTCAAGTAGGGTAATCTTAACCCTTGAATCTAAATCTTAAACCCCTGGCCTTAAAATCCGCCATTCTAGACGGCTGAACAAGCTATGAACACCCCCTAATGGCTTAACAAACGCCGCAGATAAAAGGCTTTCAACGTCCCACAACTTACTCTTGTTGAAGGCCTTATGGAACCCTTATAGACACCCTGATACCCTTATGGAGCACCCTAAACCCCAACCCCTAAACTCGAAACCTTCCCTAAATCCCTAAACCCCAAAACCATCCTAAACCATCTTAAACCATCCTGTCCCCCTAGACCCCTAAACCCCCAGACCCCCTAAACCCTAAACCCTTTTGGAGTGTCAGCGTCTCGTGAGGCCTCCGCCCAGCTGAGCGAATCTCCGTGGCACGCGCGGCTCAGGTCCTGCGGCGCTCGCGGAATCTGGTCGCACCCTGGCACGAATATACCCTTTAAGGGTTCCTTAAAGGGCTCCTTAAAGGGATCGATAAGGGATCTCTAAAGAGAATAATTACCTCAAATCATACTAGGGGATCCTATTCTACCTGTCGCCAAGTCTTCGTAAGGTTTTCATAATGGCTTCTAGAGGTTGTATATATTTATATATACATACATATCTATGATTATATGTAGAAATACGAGTGAACATGGTTGCTAACGGTTTCTGTCATAAAGCGCTTTATAAGCCTTGCCAGCGGAGTTACAGGTTTCTAGAAGCGTATGAACTCCAAAAGAAGCCCCACCAAAAGCACCCATGCCCTAACTTCTGCGACCCGATCGCCCCAAAGCCTTTGCCAAAGTATTGTTAAATGTTTTCGTGCACATTTTGTAGAAGCCTCTATACAAGCTTATGTTTTCACAGGCGTTGCTGAGCTGCTCTGGTCATATTTCCCCTGAGAGTCTTGATATAAGTATATCATAAGATACTCAAAGCCCTGCTCCGGTTTAGGGTTTAGGGTTAAGGGCCCCTTGACTACTGCGGTTGGGAGCCAAGGTGCTTACGGGGGCTGGCATCAGCGCGGAGAGTGGCATCTGGACAGGTGTTGCAAGTTTTGGGTGTAGAGGGTTTTGGTATTCAAGGTTTAGTGTGCGGCTCTGCCCTAAACCCGAAGCCCTAAGCCTTAAACCGTAAACCCTAAACCCCAGTGTTTGGGGTATAAAGGCGTAGTGGATTGGTGTGCATGGCTTAGGGCTCGGGGCCCTGCGGTTTGCTGGCATTTCGATGCTTGGGCCCTTTGAATCTGATACATGGGTCCTGCACCCATACAGTAACAGTCTGTAAGAGGGCTTTTCTTGAAGGCCTTATATATCTTCTTATAAGCATTAAGGTAAACACCACATCCCAGCTTGGGTCTTTCTCGAAGTCACGTACTATAGGGGCCTTAACAATTACCAAAACCCTATGTTGGGGGTTCCTCATTATCAGTATACTATAGTGGGCCCCCAAACCCTGTTCTAATTATTCAGGCCCCTAAACCCTAAACTACCCCAAAACCTGAACCCTCAACCCTAATCCCTAAACTCTAATCCCTAATCCCTAAACAAGCCCTCTTGGGCTCCCGGTGCTAATGTAGAGGTTCTGGCTTCATTCGGGGGTGCTTCGAGCTTAGGTTTCTGGGATGGTACCACACCAGGCGCCCAACGGCTGGGTGGAGAAACAGCTCGAGGGATCCACCAGCTTGAGACTAGTTAAGGGTTTAGGGGTTTAGGGTTTTAGGGGTTTAGGGGTGTAGGGTTTAGGGGTTTAGGGGTGTAGGGTTTAGGGGTTTAGGGTTTAGGGTTTAGGGTGAAGAAAAAGCTTGAGGGATCCGCCAGCTTGAGCCTTCAGGGCTTCATGAGGAGGTCAGAAGACTCAGTTTCGTCCCCTGTTTCCCTCAGGCTCCACTACGCAATGCTCCCACATGAAGGCCCCAACATCGGGGGCTTGCAGTGGGGTCGCCGAGAGTGCCGCGTCCCTTCGTGTCCTGAGAGAGATGCTCAACCAGGTGACTATTTCATAGAGTTCTATTCCAGGCTTGTTTCATGCGCTTGTGAACAGGCTTTGGCAGGTTTTTTTTTATTATGGAACGCTCCATGAGGCAGAATGCTACAACAGGCATACCATAAGCCAGAGGCAGACCCTAAATCAAGCACCCTATGCTAATCTCAAACTATTCAGCCCCAAACCCTCACCCCCTAAACCCTAAACTCTACAGACAGACTCGTTGATTGACGCAGATTCGTAATGATTCGGCAGTCTAGTCTCCAAGTGGTTGCTTCTAGACTGTCCGAGAGACCGCATGCATAAACCCTATACCCTAAACCCTAAACACCAAAAAAACCCACTGAAGCCTCAAAGGTATTCTCATCCCTTAACCCTAGACCATAAAAGAAGCCCACAGAAGCTTCAAAGGTACCCTCATCCCCAAAACCCTAAACTCTAAACCCCCAAAAAAGCCCACGGAAGCCTCAAAGGTATCCCAACCTTCCGGGGTGCCGACGGCTTCTGGACTGTCGGGTCGAAACACTATCAGCCGCAGGAGCGGGGTTGTAGGGTTTCAGGGTTTTCCTTTAAGGCTTCTCCTTTAAGGGTTTCAGGGGTTTTCCTGTAAGGGTTCCTATAAGGTTTCAGCTTTTAGGGTTTTAGGGTTTCAGGGTTTCAGGGTTTAGGGTTCAGGGTTTAGGGTTAGAGGGGGGGTTTTGGGGGTTCCCCTTTAAGGGTTCCTGTAAGGGCTCAGGTCTTGAGGTTTAGGGTTTATTGCTTGGGGTTTGGGGGTTTTGGGTTTTATTTGGAGGTTTGGGGGGCTCAGGGTTTCAAGGTTTTAGGGTTTCAGGGGTGTAGTAGAGTTTTGGGTTTGGGGTTTAGGGGTGGGGGTCTGGAACGGCTAGGGTCTAGGGGGACAGGGCGCGGGGTTTAGTTAGGTGTTACAGGGTGCTACTGTGGTGTCAGAGGGTTTCTATATGGGAGTTTCCGAAAAATAGGGGCCAGCGGTACCTTATTTGGGGGTCCTTATGATAAGGATCCTACTATTTAGGGTACTAGATTAGGCTCCCCTATCTTCGGAAACTCCCATATTTGGTGCAGTGATGTTCAGAAGCGTTGAGGCTTCTGTGGGGTTTCGGTATTGGGGATCAGTGTCGGGTCCGAAAGGGTGCGGTTTCGACTAGGGTACTTAGAGGATCATGGGACTTAGTAAGTCAGGTTATAAGTAAGTTATAATTAGGATAACCCTACTTAGGGGACTTATAACCCCAATTATAACCTACTTACTAAGTTCCATGAGCCTCCAAGTAGGGATCCTACAGGATTGGGTTCCAAGACTCCCTCGGCCGCAAGCCTCAAAGCCAACAACTCCGGAAGCCAAAGCTTGCCGGGTAGGGTTTAGGGTTCAGGGTTCAGCGTTGAGGGTTCAGGGTTTAGGATTTAGGGTTTAGGGTGAATAAGTCCAAAACCCCAACGGAAACCCTTTAAAAAGCCCTCAGACAGACAGGAGTTGGCCACCTGGGAGAAGTACAACGAGATGCCTGCAGAGTTATGGCGGTGGTATCAATACAGGCGGCAGCCAACAGACCCTGTTCCCAGAGGGCCCAAAAACCCCTAATGAAGGAATACACCTTCAGCTTATCATCACAAGGCCTGTAGCGTTCCAGGCGTATTCCTTCGCGGCTAAACTCTGAGCCCTAAACCTTAAACCCTACACCCTTAGCCCCTAAAACCTAAACCATGTTCGCTGCGTCCCAGGTGGGGAATCTGCCGGAAGGCCAAGCCGAACGCGGGACATTTCGCCCTGGCTGAGCTGTGGCTGGGACTTCTTTTTGTTGTCATTTTCTTGTCATTTTCGGTTTGGGGTTTAGGATTTGGGGTTTTTCTTGTTAGTTTCGGTTTAGGGTTTGGGGTTTGTTTGGTTTAGGGTTCTTGTTAGTATTGTTCAGTTTGATTGGTCTTCTTGACGGTTTGATTGGGGGCTGATGCGGTTTTATGAAGGGATTTAGTGGGTTGCAGCCTGTTTACCTCCCTGGTTTGTACAGGCTGTAGAAGGCATTGAAAGTACTAAGCTGGGGTTGGGGGCTGCAGCATGCGGACCTGAAAAGTTGGTAATATCATTTCCTCAAAGGCCCTGCAGACTACTACTATAATGTACACCAAAACCTTTTTCTGATCCAGACTAATTACTAATTGTCGCGAGCCTTGTTTCGGCGCTGTTTTCACATCCACTGTGTACAAATCTGCCTTTTTTCCAGAAACCCACATTGAAATTGCTACTTTAAGAGTTTCTGAGTTTTTCTCTTGGTGCGAGCATTTGCACTTTTTTGAAGACGTTTTTCTGCATAGCCGGAGGGGGGTGGGTGGGCTTGGACTGGGGTTGGGCCTGGGAGTGGGGAATGAGGTTCGGGCAATTTGTCCGGATTTTGGGGTTTTGCGTGGAGGCTGCGGATTTGGGACTTTGGGGCTTTTGGTTTGGGGTTGGCGCAGTGCTGGGGCTCGGCCATGGGAGTGGGGAGCCGGAAAGCTCAAGGTTGCATGTGGACTTCGAGGGAGCTTGGCGTTGTTGCTTGGAGCTTGGGGCCAGGGGTTGGGGCGCTTGGTGGGGTTGGGGGGTTGGGGCCGGGGGGTTTCGGGGTGGGGTGGGCTGATGGATGGAGTACTTGAAGGTTTGGGGTTTGGGGCAAGGGTGCTGGGATTTTGTTGGGGGTTGTTGGGGTAGTGACGGGTAGTGTTGGTCTGGGTGGGGCTGGGCCAAGGAGTGGAGACTGATGGGTGGAGGTGCTGGGGTTTTGGGGTGGGACTTGGGCCTGGGCCAGGGAGTGAGGTTCGGGGTTGGTTTCGCGAAGAGGAACGGAGACTCAGGGAGTACTTGAAGGTTGGGTTTGGGATTGGGGGTTGGGGAGGTGTTGGTCTGGGTGGGGCGTGGGTGCTCGGGCTTGGGTCCGGGTTTCGCGAAGAGGAACGGACCCTCAGACATTACTAGAAGGTTGGAGGTTTGGGGTGGGTTTCGTGACGAGGAATGGAGACTGATAGGGGCTTTTGGGGTTGGGATGGTGTTGGTCGCTTGCGGCTGGGCCAAGGAGTGAGGTTCGGGGTTGGGTTTTGCGAAGAGGAACGGAGGCTCAGGGAGTAATTGAAGGTTGGAGGTTTGAGGTTTGGGGTTGGTGCTGGTCTGGGTAGGGCTTGGTGCTGGGCCAAGGAGTGGGTTTGGATTTCACGGAGAGGAACGGAGACTTAGGGTGTACTCGAGGGTTGGAGGTTTGGGGTTGGGGTTGGGTGGTGGTGGTCTGGGTGGGGCTTGGTGGGGTTCGGGGTTTGGTTTCGCGGAAAGGAACGGAGACTCAGGGTTTTGATTGATCGGACTTTGGGGGCCTTTGGGGTGGCAGGTCTGGGAGGTTGTGGAGGGAGCGTGGGGGTGAGGGGTGGGACGGGGCACAGAGTGACTTGTTCTTGAATGAAGCTTCTGACAGGTTGAAGGCACTACACGTGTTTGAGCTAGTAGGTATCTGATTGGAATCACGCTTGTGTTCTTGGATCTTTAGCCTTTGGCACAAAGAAAGCCAAGAACATGCATATAAACTCTGCACATCATGTTTTCCGAACTCAGGCCCAAAGATAAGCTTCGTTGAAGCCTTTTCTTATTGTGGGAGGAAGAATGCAAAGTAAAAATACAAGAAAAACGAGCAAAACAAATGACACTTGATGAACCTGTCTGTGTTCGCTTGGGAGGAGCGGCAAAATTGCGGACTTGACTGAAGCGTCTTTTTGACAAACGAAACTAAGAATCGCATTTTCCTTTTGGAATGATGAAAAAGGGAATACCAAGTGAAACTTGTTTTACACAAAAAAGGATTTGTGGCCGGCTGTGTGTGGGTTGGGTGGGTCGGTGGGGTGGGGGTGGGGGCGGGACGTTGGGCAGGGGGCGGGTTGGGGTGGGTGGGGGGGTTGGTGCAGTGGTCGGGCCGCCTTCACCCTAAACTCCAAACCCGAAACCCAAACCCTTGCAGTGGTCAGGGCCCCTGCACCCTAAACTCTAAATCCAACACCCAAACCCTTCAAACCTAGGCCCTAAACCTGAAACCCTCAAACCAACTGCTGCCATGTGTTGCGCACTGGCGGCTGTCGCTGTTGTGCATTGTCCGGCTTTTGCGTTGATGGGGGGTCCGGGCAGTGGTGGGGCGGGGCGTGCGAAGGAGCTATAGCACTCGTTTGGGGCGGACACGAATTATGGCATCTTGTGTTCTGGAAAATGACTTATACGGTCTTGCACCTGCGCTTTTTGATTTTAGCATCTCATCACCTCCAAAATCCTATCGGACGGGATACTAGTCCTCACCCGCTCCCGAAACAAGGCTCGCGAGAATTAGTAATCCAGACCCCTCCATTAATCTTAATAATCCATAGAAAAAGCTTGTTAAACCCATAGTCAAACTACCAAGGCCCTTAGATTGAACCCTGTATCAGAGCTTCAGTGATTCAAAGGCTCCCTGAAAACGAATCCACCATCTCTAACCTAAACTTAGCCCAAATCCTTAGCACGCTATCGCCCTCAGCCCTAAAGCCCTACACCTTAAAACCCTGCACCCTAAAGCCCAACACTAAACTCACAACCCCAAAACCCTGCACCCTACAGCTCTAAAGCCATACACTTACAACTCCGAAGAAACACCCTTTTTAAACCCTAAACCCTAAATCATTAACCTGCAGGCAGAAGCTCGTGGACGGTGAGTTCAAGCTGGTCACACAGCCTTTTGAGCCAGATTCAGGTGGGTGTGAGGGATTTGGGTTCTGAGAATTACGGCTCAAAGCGTTGTTGCTGGATCCTCCGTTTTCGTTATCATCATAACTGTTCTTTTCCTGTTCGCATTTCTCGCTCATCGTTGCCGTGGTTGTCGTTGGAAGTGTCATTGTTCTTAGCTTGGTGTTGGCTGTTTGAGAGTTTGGCATCGCTACGAGTGTTCACTCATGGTTTTTGATTAGAAAGGTGCCACAAGCGACACGCGAGGCCATACGATTTGCTACACCTCAAATTCCAGAGCCCTCAAGTTTGCCTGAAACCCGCACGCCCGAAGCTCAAAATAACTGCAATATAATTCACCGCCAAAACCTTACCCAATTGCAAGGGCCCCTAAACCCTAAACCCTAAACCCCTAAACCCTAAACCCTAAACCCTAAACCCCTAAACCCTAAACCCCTGGATCACAGCTCAAGGCTTTAGTTGCTGGGGCTGTAGTCTGAACCCGGCTTGTGGAAGCTCGAGAGCTGAGATGTGGTTTTGAGGGTAGGTGGAAACCCTGAGCCCAGAAATCCCCTAGAGTCTAAACAGTATAGCCCGAATACTTCCAGATGAAGCCCTTGGCAACAACTGCAACAACAACTGCAACAACAACAACATCAACTACTACTACCACTACTACTACCACTACTACTACGACGACGACGACGACTACTACTACTGCTACTACCAAGGAACGTGGATGGCTTGCACCTGCAGGCTGGAACTGATGCTAGCAAGCTTTGCGAGATCCATGGCAGTGCCGAGGCATTCCATCGGCACTTTTTTCTTTCCCTATCCTTAATCCTGAATAACCAACCTTTTCAGGGTTCCTTATTATGATTTCTTTATATAAGTCCGGCAAAAATGTAGGTTCTTCGGGGTTAAGGATGGGTTCGGGCTGAGGATTTCTGGTTTAGCCCTAAAGCCCCAGCCCCAAATCGCGAATCCCGAAGCCCTAAAGCCCAAACTCAAAACCCACAAGCCTTGACACCTCAAGTAAGGCCGCTGTAACAGGAGTTGCAGAACATAGGAGCCAGCAAAATTGTGCACCCAACATTGGCAACCCGTTTGAAGGACGCCGAAAACAGGGCAACCCCTTCGATTTCTGACGCTCGCATATCAGCCTCATCACCACGCAGATTAGAAACCTGAACAACGTAATCTGGAGCGGATCACGTGGGCCCCAAACACACGGGGCCTAGATAACCGATAACTACCCATACTCTTCCTTAGGGTTTTTGATGATATCTCTGATAGACTATATGCCGGAACCCCATGCTACGTGAAGGACACATAGTGAGTCTGGGACACCAGAACTCTCAGAGGCCTTAACACGGAATGCGAGTTCGCTCATTTCTTGCTTGCCACCCATGCGCGCCGTGGCACGAAGAGACTTCGATCCCCTAAAGGCACACTAACATAGGGTTTAGGGCTTAGGGTTTGGGGTTTAAGCCTTGCACCCTAAACCCTAAATCCGCGACAAGGAATCGACGAGATGCGCTGCGACGAGCGTGTGGAGGGCGCCTGCCTCTACAAGGCCCCCTGAAGATTTGAAGCCTTGAGCCCTAGAGCACTAAAGCCTCAAGCAAAAACCCTAAACCACTAAATCCTAAACCGTCAAACCGAAACCTTGCACCAAGTGGACTTGCGCTTTAAGCTTAATATACAAACCGAAATGAGGGGCAACATGATTCCATACCCTGAAGAGACAGTGATTTTACTATACCTTGAACCCGAAATCATTCTATACACACCCAGCGGAAGCCCGCTTTCTGGACGTTCATGCAGATGGAAAGGGGTCGTCTAAAAAAACCATTAAACGTAAATCATCAAACCCTCAACGCACCGGTCACAGAAATCTTTGGAACTGTTGGCATGTGCAATCCTGGCAAACAGCTACCTGCAACCCGAAACCTTTCTTTGTGGCGCCCTGAATGAATATTAGGGCGGTTCCTTACTAGAATTAGAGTACAATGGTCGCCAAAACCTTACTCTCATTATCTTATTAAGGCACTTATATTATGATGCATGATCCTGAAAGCAGGAAGCAATCGGAGCCACAGTTTACAACCCTTTGAAACTACTTAGAAATCCTTGTGCAGATCCTTCAGACACTAGCAAAAGCCGTAACCTTTACAAAAGCCTATGACAGATTCAGGAAATCTACTAAATCCTCTAGAAACCCTTTCGCTCCATATCAGAGATCCAACTCCCAGATTATAGAACGCTTCAAGAACCCCTTTGTGAAAAGGAGCCCCTGCACTCTCTGGACCCTGTGTTGAAAGAGTTTCGAGACCCGTACATTAAACTAAACGTCTATGAAAGTCTCAAAAACTCACATTATCGAACCTTTTTTTCGAGCCCCTGAACCCTCGGCGTAAACCCCAAGCCCTAAACCCTCAGCCTGAAACCTTAAACCCCTGAACCCCAAACCCTTCATCTAAACGAGCCTTACGCCGAAGCTGTGGAGGTAGACCTGAACGACGTGGCCAACCTGGAGCGAGCGCGGGCCACGGTGATGCGGACCCCGGAGCCTGCGAAGGACGGTGATTTACTGGGTTCTTGAGTAATGCCCTTTTGCTCTCTTTTTTTTGGGTTCCTAAAAATTGTTAAAGCCAAATAGTAGGAACAAAGGGAACCCTTACTAAGGGGCCACTCAGGAGCCTAGTTTAGGGTTTAGAGTTACGGGTGCTTGGGTTCTCTGAGGCTCTTCAGGATCTGTGGTCAAAGAGGTTTGGAAGGGTTCGGGGCTTAGGATTCAGTGGGGTTACGGTTTTCATGTTTGCTCTGGTGCGGGTTCTGTCAGGCTCTTTTCAGGTTATGTAAGGGTTTCGGGTTCAAGCACATATGAATTGGAAGCCTAGTAAAGCCCTTTCGCGGGTGCGGGAGAAGGAGAAGTAAGCATGAACCATTCCTAGCTCGCTAGACCCTTCTGATAGCTAAGGTTTTCCTGCAAGAACCCCTCGAAAACTCGAACCCTAAATCGTTAGATCCTTAGGATTATGATAAGGGCTCTAGGAACGGAGCCCCCGCCGGCCCCATTTTCTGAGAGCCCCAGCTGTGTGCAGGAAGAGAAGGAGGAGTGCCTGCCAATGTGCCCAAAGTGTGGCGTGAGGCAGCGGCCGAAGATCCTGTGGTTCGACGAGACTTACAACGAGGCTTTCATGGTTGTCTTGATATTTTGGAGTGCTATGAAGACGTTTACACGCCGCTGTGGGCTTTTAAGATTTTTTGAGAAAGACTTTACGAGGGTTTTGTGCCTTTTCTGTGGAGCTTTCATCATTATCCCCCAGTCCCAAATCTTGAAAAGGAGGAACGTTAGCATAAATCATCAGTTGTCAATTCTCTGTCTTTTTGGCCTTTACCTTACACCCTCAACCCCAAAGCTTGAGCCCGTTATATATTTCAGACATCTCTTCTGGGCCATCAGCAACCTTGAACCCTTTGTGAAGCCCTGAAACCCCCCCTTAATCCACCTGGCTGGTTATCAAGATTAGGGTCCCCTTTTTGGGCCCTTGACATAATACGGCACCTAATATTTAGGGTACCCGAAAAGGGGACCATGATTTTGACAACTACCCACCTGTCCAGGCCTTTTTCCACTGGAAGACCGTCATGGATCAGATGGAGACCTGCGATGTTCTGCTCATCGTCGGAACGCAGCTAACCACGGGGGGTCCGAGGTCGATGGTGCGGGCGGCGCAAAAGTCCGGGACCATCATCATCAGGAGCGGGGGCTGAGGGCTTGGGGGCACCCTAACCCTAAGCTCTGAACCCTGAACCCTAAAGCCTGAACTTTGAACCCTGAAGCCTAAACCCTGAACCGAAACCCTGAACCCTAACCCCTGAACCCGGAAACCCGAGCCCTGAACCCGAATCATCACAGACCCGCTCATAACGCCAGGATGGACACGGAGGTGGATTTGAAGGATGACGCCACGGCTGGCATGCTGCACCTCGAAGGGCCTGCTGCTTCAACTGGGCTTTTTTTGGCTCTTGGAGGTTTAGGGTTTAGGCTTTAGGGGCTTAGGGTTTGGGGTTTAGGCTTTAAGGGTTTGGACTTTGTAGGCTTTAGGGTTTAGGTTTTAGGGTTTGGGGCTTGAGGGCTTCAGGGTTTAGGGGTACGGCGTTTAAGGTTTGGGGTTTAGGTCTTAGCATACCAAAAGACCGAAAGCCCGCAAAAGCCCTAAAAAGCCCCAAGCCCCCTCGGAATTTCAGACTTCAACGTACTTAGGGAAGATTCGCCAAGTCACCGCGACGTGCCCTCGTCCCTAAAGCCTGAATAAACCGTTCCAAAACTGAACCTAGACCGCTCAAGCCCGAAGCCCTCAGTCCTAAACCCTAAATCCCAAAAGCCTAAAGCTTCAAAACCCCCAAACCCGTAGGGTTTAGTCGGACATGTTCACTTGCAAGTGTTTGCCCTAAACCCCAAGCCCCAAAAGCTTTCAACCCCAAAACCCCAAACCCGAAAACCCCCAAACCCCAAATCCCAAAACCCCTAAACCACCAAAACCCCAGCCCCCCAGCACCAGAAGCCAAAAACCAACGAAGGAAAAGCGGCGAAGTGCTGCCGAACCTGCTGCGCGAAGTCTCCAGGCTCCGGAAGGACTCGAATGATTCAGGCCCCTATACTACAGTACCCTTATAGTGTCCCTTATCTGAGCTTTGGAGTACCATACTTTAATACTTTTTTCTATTATGGAATAACAGTTTATACATTTTTGCTCCCTGGTTACTTAAAGCCCAGTTATAGGTCCCTTAACGGTTTTCCCCATAAAGAAGTCCCAGTAACCAGTAACCCCCAGGCCCATTCCCTACTTGGAGGGTCGGGGGACTTAGTAACTGGTTATTTTAGGGACTTATAAGTACCATAACCCCAATTAGGGTCCCTTTTAGGGTACTTATAAGTCTACTTACTACCTACTTACTAAGTCCCTGAACCCTAAACCCTATAGTACCCCTATAGAGCCCTTTAAAGGAACCCTTATACTCCCAATTAAAGGAGACCCTACTTACTAAGTCCCCCGACCCTCCAAGTAAGAACCAGACAGAGGAGCCGTTCCTGGCTCCCCTGGCGCCGCCTCCGGCGCCCTCCCCGGCGGCCAGGCTTCTTTTAAAGGGGGTTTAGAGGGTTTTAGGGGCTTTTAGGGGCTGTTGGTTCAGGGTTAGGGGGTTTAGGGGGTTTTAGGGGCTTTGGGGGGTGTAGGGGGTTTAAAGGTTTAGGGGTTTTAGGGGCTTAGGGTTTGGGGTTTAGGGTCCCGAAACACTAAACTCCACAGCAGTCTACTCTGGCGATTTCGTTCGTCGGGGGGGGGGAGCTGAAGGTTGATGGCTTAACCAGCTGTGTCAGTTTCGCATTCTCTCGCAGGGCTGGCTTTGGAAGTGGAGTTTTAGGCCAACGAGTCCTGTCTCGTTGTAGAAGAGCCCATAACCCTAAAACTTGAACCCTGAGCCCTAGACCCTGGACTGCAAGAACGCTTCATCGTCCTAAAACATTTATCCTAAACCCCTTAACCCCTAAACCCTTAAACCCCTAAACCCCTAAACGTCCAAACCCCTAAACCCCTAAACCCCTAAACCCCAAACCCCTAAACCCCAAGCCCCAAACCCTACAAACCACCAAACCCCAAAGCCCCAAAACCCCAAATCCCTAAACCCCGAACCCAAGGTCGCCTCTCCTGCGCCCCGGGCGCCGAGCCCTGCGCCGAGCTCGGCGCCCCGTGCGGCCGTGCCTTGCAAGGTCTAGGGTTTAGGGTTTAGGGGGCCGACGCAGTTTTGTGCTTTGTACAGCTCGCCAAGGGTCTAGGGTTTGAGGGTTTGAGGGCTAGGGGTTTAGGGTTTGAGGGTTTGAGGGCGAGGGGTTTAGGGTTTGAGGGTTTGAGGGTTTGAGGGCTACAGTAGGGGTTTAGGGTTTGAGGGTTTGAGGGTTTGAGGGCTAGGGGTTTAGGGTTTGAGGGTTTGAGGGCTAGGGGTTTAGGGTTTGGGGGTTTGAGGGCTAAGGGTTTCGGGTTTCAGGGTTTAGGGTTTGAGGATCTACGGTTTTAGGGTCTAGGGTTTGGGGGTTTGGTTGAGGCAGGGCGGTTGTAGTGCTTTATATGATGTTTGCCCTTAACTTTGGTTTCGGGCCTTTCTCTCGATGGAATTTTTTGTAAGGCTGTGTTCTGTTACCGCATGTTCATCGCTTGTTCAAGCATAGCAGGGACACAAAATACCCATTCCGAATTCGATAAGAGTTCTAAAGTGTTTAGGGTTTACGTTTAGGCCCTAAGCCCTTAACCCCAAACCCTAAACCTAGCGTTGGTCTTGTCATGAAGGTCTAGGAATCTGGGGCTCTCCTGTGGCTTCGAAAAGCCCACTTCTGTCTCTTTACTGTTGACCTGCTTTTTATTCATCTCCCCTTAATTACAGAACCCCCACCCCCGGAACTCAAATATAAATCACCCGCCAAAAACGAAACCCTCTACTGTTTTCTTTTTTTTTGGTCTTGTTCTGTGCTGTATATTTTGAAGCAGAGAGAAAGAAACTTTTATGACCCAGAACCCTGAACCTTCAAAAACTCTAAACCCTTAAACCCCAAAGCCTTAAATTCTTTAACCCTAAACCCTAGAACCCTAAACCCTAAAACCCCAAAGCCTTAAACTCTAAATCTCTAATCCCTAGAACCCTAAACCCTAACACCCGAAAGCCTTAAGCTCAAAAAAACCCTAAACCCTAGAACCCTAAGCCCTAAAAACGGAAGCCTAAAACTCTATAACCGTCCTCAACCCTAAAGCCCGAAAGCCTTAAGCTTCCCCCAAGGCGCGGGGATCTTCGACGCCGGCAGCCGCCCGGGCGCCCCGAGCCCCGAGCCCCGGGCTCCGGGAGGCCAAGAGCTCGAAGAGCACCGCGAAGGCTGGGGTTTCAGGGTTTCAGGGTTTCAAGGTTTTAGGGTTTTAGGATTTCAGGGTTTCAGGGTTTCAGGGTTTTAGGGTTTTAGGGTTTAGGGTTTCAGGCTTTCAGGGTTTTAGGGTTTTAGGGTTTAGGGTTTCAGGGTTTAGGGTTTCAGGGTTTAGGGTTTCAGGGTTTCAGGGTTTTAGGGTTTTAGGATTTTAGGGTTTAGGGTTTCAGGGTTTAGGGTTTAGGGTTTCAGGGTTTTAGGGTTTTAGGGTTAAAGTTTAGGATTTTTGGGTTTTAGGGTTTCAGGGTTTAGGGTTGCTTTTTTGGGTCCGGCTACTTAGGGTTTCAAGCATTGTACACGGTTTCACAAGTGGGCTTGTAAGGCTCTTTTGTATCAGAGAAGTGAGTCTTATAGGGTTGTTTGTAAGGCTTGTGGTTAGCAGCTTCGCGAAGCCTTACACCGTGCGAAGTCGAAGCTCTCTTCCAATCCAACAGGCCAGATAGGAGCAACGATCCGTCCCTAAACCCTTCAATCTCAAAACTCTGGAGCTTTTCTCCTAATGCTGACGTACCTACCCAGCCCCCAAGCACTGAACCCTGAGGTCGCTGCGGGTGGGGCCGTATCGCCTCCGGCACCGCGGGCACCCTCTCGACGAAAGGCCCTAAACCCTTAAACCTTATCAGGGATTGGTACGGAAATTTGGCTGACTCAGCTGCCGCGGTTTGTTTCTTGGATGGGGTTTGAGGGTTTTTGGTTTATGGACTCCGGAATCCCTTACTCACTCAAGGGATCGCCTTCTAGAAGGATCTTTGACAACTGACACTCGCAAGCTGGAACATGGGTTCCTCGTAATGGACCTGAAGAGGATGAGGATAGCAATGTATCAATTCTGGCTTCCACGTAAAGCCGTAAACTTTAATCCTAAAGCCGAAAACAATCACACTCCAACTGTGTGTTTTGTATTCCCACATCCTAGCACGGTCATGCTCCAACTTTCTGGCCCGGCCCTACCTATAACTCCATTGTAGTTCCTTTTGTGGTCTAAGCGAGTCTATAACTAGGATCCCATAAGGTAGCCCAGAAAAAGGGATACAGTGGAGACTATACGAATATACGGGCCTGAGTAATTGGAGGGACTATTGGGGTGGCTCCTTCTTATAACTATGTGATATGCCCCAACTAAACCCTAAACATTACACCCTAACCCTAACCCTAAACCCTAAACCCTGAACCCTATTCTAATCACGGGCCGCCGCGGTGTTTGAACTTGGGGCGCGAGGTGCATTTCAGGGTTTAGGGGTCTTCACAAATAGGAACTAGCCTTGAGATGTCATTACCGATTCTTCAGACCCCTACGCCCCATATTCTCCGAAAAAGGAACTATAGGGAAACCTCTGTCGGCTTAGGATTAAGGGCTTTGGATCTCCGCATCCTGCTGCAGGCTCGCGCTGCATCATCTGCGGGGGCGTCTCTCCACTGCACGGTTTAGGGGTTAGGGTTTAGGGGCCAGTGTAGCATCTGCAGTTGTTCGACCTGGGAGTGTGACGGGGATGGGGTGTGCCCGGCAATATTAATGTTTATCACTAGTATGCCGTTTTAGTCCAAATTTTTAATGCAGGGGCCTCAATTCTTGCTTGACCCTTAGTAGAATTATAGTAGAATATACCCCGAGACCCTGTTCTAATGATCAAGGCCCGTATATTATGTAGGTATAGTTCGGTCTTTGCTTGGGCTTTGGGCTTGAGATCTCTCTGCAGGTCTTGATGAGAGAACACACGCTCCAAAATTCAATTCCTCTGCCCTGAACCTCCAGAGCCCAAAACCCTGATACCCGTAGACGCTTTAGACCTTAGACCCCAATCCCAATCGCTAATAGTCTCTAAAATCTCAGGAGATTGATGCAAATCCCTGAAGTCGCTCAGCGATCTCCAAATCTAAGCATAAACTAACCCTAAACAGCTCTGCGTTTACGTAGGGTTTTGAGGCGCCCTTCAACTCTAACCGGGGTATACTAGAGTATATAGGTCATATGCTATGTATAGCATGGTTTTGTATATTGCATTGCATTACATTAGGTTTCATAGACTTTTTGAGCAGTCGTGGGATCTTCTGTCTGGTTCTCAGCAGGGAATGGGGGAATGGACTATGGAGGCTACTTTATGGGGAAACCTAAATTTATCTCATTAGAATAGGGTTTTGGGGACTATTCTTGGGGATTTCTTAGGGACTTCTTTAAGGATCCATTCCCCCATTCCCAACAAAGCACCGCAAAAGTCCTCGAAGCTGCGGAGCTCCTAGGCCAGTGGGCTTTTTCGTCTACGGCACCCTGCGGCCAGACGACGCAGCTCGGAAAATTGTTTTGGGGTTGAGGGATGAGGGTCTAGGGATTAGGGTTTAGGATTTCGGGATTAGGGTTTAGGGTTCAGGCTTTGGGGTTTAGGGTTCTGGCGCCTTTAATAATTAGATCGAGGCTTTGGGGCCCTTTATACTATGATTATAATAAGAAAACCCTTTGGCAATTATTTAGGCCCCCATATTATGATTTAGCGTTTTTGTTTTCAGGGTCATTCAGAAATCCAAACTGAAATCCCAACGCCTAACCTTGATTTCTAATTCTAACCCAAGCCCTAAACCCTAGCCCTGAACTCTCATTCAATCCCAAGCTCTTTCATCCCAGGATCTAAAAGTTGCCACGACCTTCCAAGTATTGTAGGGTTTAGGGTTCAGGGTTTAACCAAAAATTCCCAAACGTGGTCGGGCTTGGTGAGAGTCGGCAGTTACATCAAGGACACCTCATCAAGACTCCATCTGAAAGCCCTAAGCTCTTCAGGAGTCTCCTTCCGCTGTCCCTGCAAAAAAGCCCGTGGGTTCAGGGTTTCAAGCCGCACCCGCGACCTGCTGAACAACCCATCCCGAACCCTAAACTCAAATCTAAAGCCTAATCCCCAAACCCTGAACCCTGAGCCTTAAAGCCTAAACCTTAAGCCTTAAGCATATCCCTGACCGCAGCCCTCACCCTGACCCTACTGAACCCTAAACCTCAAAGGCTCACCTTAATGATGTCATGGCCTCACAATTAGAATAGGGTGTGGGGAGATAGTATACTATAGTCATACTGAGGACCCCCCAGAACCCTATTCTAACCCTAAACCCCTAAACCCCTAAACCCCTAAACCCCTAAACCCCTAAACCCCTAAACCCCTAAACCCCTAAACCCCTAAACACTAAACTCTATACCCTTAACCCTAAACCCCTAAACCCCTAAACCCCTAAACCCCTAAATCCCTAAACCCCTAAACCCCTACCCTAAACCCCTAAACCCCTACCCTAAATCCTAAACCCTAAATCCCGAAACCCCTAAACCCCTACACTACCACTCCAAAAGGACTCCCAGGCTTCGTGGACCAAGTCCTTCAACGAAGGAATGGAGCCTGGTCGGGTCGGTTTCGGGCTTCGGGTTTAGGGTTTAGGGGTTTGGGGTTTAGGGTTTAGGGTTTAGGGTTTAGGGGTTTAGGGTTTAGGGGTTTAGGGTTGAGGGGTTTAAGGTCTCGGGTTTAGGGGTTTTAGGGGTTTGGGTTTAGTGGCTTCAGGGGTTTGGGGTTGAGGGCTGAGGGTTTAAGGTTTCGGGTTTAAGGGTTTGGAGTCGGGGTTTAGGGTTTCGGGCTTAGGGCAATCTTTCCTTATTGGGTTCTAGAGGATATACCTCTTCGCAGGACTGTGAGCTTGAGGGTTTAGGTCGTTTGGCTCAGGGTGTCGTTGTGAGGGCTGGCTTCTCGGGTTCTTGAACTTTGGGGTTTAGGGCATCTTCGGGGCTTGGTGTCGGGTTTAGGCGTCGCAGTCTTGTACAGTATCCCCATAAAGTTGGAAACCGGATTAAGGCCAAATAGTGCTGGTATTCCCTATACATTACTCTTAAGGATTGAGGCTACTGGGTTTCCAACTTTTTGGCTTCTACTATAGACCTAAACCCGAAACCTCAAACCCTAAACCCCGAACTCTAGAGTTTGAGGTCAAGGGTCAAGGACCTTTCATCCAAAGCCTCGAGTTCAGGTCCTGCTATATCTTAACACCCCACAACCCGTCCTTACGGCGTTGTCATACGGCCCTGTCATGATGGTTTTCGCCCCTAGGCCCTAGTAATCCTTATCGTAAGACGGATCACAGGGTTCGCAGCCCTTATACTAGCCCCTTTAAAATGGAAAGTTTGACAGCGACGCTTGCAGCAACCCTTTCTGTAGCTTTAAAGATTTCCGATGCCCCGGCCCAGGAAGCCCAAGCCGCGTATTTGCCGGGGGCCTCGCTTTACATCGATGGCCGCTATCCTGCCGCCACCCGGTTGCCGAAAGCAGCTCTTCACGGGCTTTTCGGCGTGAGGTTTGGGGTTTTGGCTCATGGTCTTGGGTCCAGGATTTCAGGTTTAGGGTTTTGGGTTTGAGGGCTTGAGCGATGTCGGTGCATCCATACCACGGTATATACTTTGGCACTCCCTACATGCTGAATAGCTGAGTGAATACACTACACTTTTTGGGATAATGTTACACACTATATTAAAGCTGAAAGTGTGTTTTTTTGGGCTTATGAACTCAGCAACTAAGCATATATACTTTCAGTAACCTGGAGCTTTCGGGGTCGACTGTCAGGAACCATTAGACGGTTTAGGGTGCAGGGTTTAGGGGTTTAGGGTTCAGGGGTTTACACACCTACACGATGGAAATTCAAAATACCTACGCCAAATAGCAAACGGGAGAACTCTGAGCTGTTTGGGCTTGTAAAGTTGGCTTCTGTCTTTATAAGGATGAAGATGCTTGGGGCCGTTCTATTGAAAGGATAGGCTTCTTTCAGGCTGAACCATGCAGGTTTGAGGTTTTTGGGGTTTGACTTATATAAAATGCTTGGTTTGCGTGTGGGTAGTTGTCAAAATCATGGCCTCTGTTGGGGTACCCTAAATAATAGGTGCCGTACTCTCATAGGGACCCAAAAAGGGACCATAATTTTGACAACCACCCATGTCATGGGTTAGGAAGCGGCCTCATTGCAGACAAGTGTTTAGGATGACTCGCAAAGCCGTGTGTTGCTGAGTGAAATGGCAGTGCTTCTACTAGCAGGGAAGAGTGGCACAGATGTAGATCGTCTTTGTTTGCGAGTGCTTTTTTGGGATGCTTGATTGCCATGCTCAAGTTTCCGCCTCCGTGCCCTCAAGCTACCAGTAGTCTGGCGCCCAACATGTCGTAGAGTGTCCATCGTTCTTAAATTGCCCAGCTGTAAGTCATTGTGCAGTGAAGCGAGAGAACGGAGGAAAACAATTTCCCCTCATTAGGTCCGGCCGGCTCTCTCAGCCCTTAACGAAGTGTCCCAGGCCCATCCTAAATCCGACTGGCACCGACTACTCCTGCACCTTTTCAACTCCAGCGTGCAACATGTCTATTGCTCTGGAAGTGGGACTGCTCAGTGGCAAGACAGCTACTGTGAAGACAGGCTTGGATGAGGACGTGCATACACTAATGCTTCGGGCGCAGACTGCACTCGGAGTAGGAAAAGGGGTGCTCGTGGATGCGGCTGGAAGATTTCTGGTTGCAAGTCAGCAGATCAAGGATTGTGGGGTGCAGAGCGGTGATGCACTGACCTTGCACATAAGCCGAGTTCATATCCATGCGTCTCAGAGCTCCTTTGCTGCCAAACTCGGCGATGGGTCTGTTGTGGCCTGGGGTCGTGCCAAAGATGGTGGTGACAGTAGTGCTGTGCAGGATCAGCTGCATAATGTGCAGCAGATCCAAGCTAATTCCAGCGCTTTTGCTGCAATTCTGGGCGATGGATCCGTTGTGACCTGGAGTGATGCTGGCCGTGGTGGCGACAGTAGTGCTGTGCAGGATCAGCTGAAGAATGTGCAGCAGATCCAAGCCTCCGAGACTGCCTTTGCCGCCATTCGTAGCGATGGATCTGTCGTCAGCTGGGGTCGCGCTAGCGCCGGTGGTGACAGCAGTGCTGTGCAGGACCGGCTGCATAATGTGCAGCAGATCCAAGCCACTTGCACTGCTTTTGCGGCCATTCGTGACGATGGTGTGGTTGTGACTTGGGGTGATGCTGTCTTTGGTGGTGAAAGCAGTGACGTGCAGTCACAACTGCGGAATGTGCAGCAGATCCAAGCCACTAACTGTGCTTTTGCTGCCATTCGCGCCGACGGATCAGTCGTCACCTGGGGTCATGGTCAATATGGTGGTGTCAATAGTGCTGTGCAGGATCAGCTGAAGAATGTGCAGCAGATCCAAGCATCTAAAACTGCCTTCGCTGCCATTCGTGGCGACGGTTCTGTCGTGACCTGGGGTTCTCCTCAAGATGGTGGTGAAAGTAGAGCCGTGCAGCATCAGCTCACGAATGTGAAGCAGATCCAAGCTAATTCCAGCGCTTTTGCTGCCATTCTCGGCAACGGATCTGTCGTCACCTGGGGTAAGCCTCACTTTGGTGGTGACAGCAGTGCCGTGCAGGATCAGCTGAAAAACGTGCAGCAGATCCAAGCCAACCATGGTGCTTTTGCTGCCATTCTCGGCGACGGATCTGTCGTCACATGGGGTTTTGATCGCTATGGTGGTGACTGTAGTGCTGTGCAGGATCAGCTGAAAAATGTGCAGCACATCCAAGCCGCTTCTTACGCTTTTGCTGCCATTCTTGAAGATGGATCTGTCGTCACATGGGGAGGTGCTGAAAATGGTCTTGACGATTTGGCTGTGCGGACGCCGCTGACAAACGTGCAGCAGATTCAAGCCTCACGTGGCAATCTCTGTGCTTTTGGAGCCATTCTCGGCGACGGATCCGTCGTGACCTGGGGCTGTGCAGAATATGGTGGTGACAGCAGTGCTGTGCAGGATCAGCTGAAGAATGAGAGGCAGATTCCGCAGGTGAGTGGCGAGGTGAGTGGCGAGTCTTGCTGGAGCTGCTGGAGTTCGGGTTAGCGACCTGGGTTTTTGCACCCTCTCCGACGATCTTTTCCCCTCTAAACCCTAGGCCCTAAACCCTAAGCCGTTTTACCTGCCTGAGCTGGGGGTCGGCGAAGCCGCATCCTGTGCCGAGATCCTCGACTTCCGGTGAAAAGGGGGTGCCGGGGAAATAATTACCCATACTATTTTGGCGGTTCCCTCTTGCAAGTAACGGAAAATGGCCCCCAAGACCCTATTCTAATTATTAACCTTAGGGAGACCCCCTTACAGGGGACCCTTCTTATTCCTAGTTCTGGCTCTCTTAAACGGGACCTTAGTGAGAGGGGCCAGATCCCCACCCTTGGCCCCCCCAAGACTAACTCCCATCCGGAAAATGGTGGTCATGGTTTGTTGAAGCCGTGATCCTGAGGCCCTAAACCCCAAACTAAGCCTGAAGCCCTAAACCCCAAACCCTAAACGGTTAAGCGGTTTAGGGCTTAGGGTTTGTATAGGGGTTAAGGGTTCAGGGTCTAGGGGTTTAGTTTAGGGTTTAGGGTTTTGGGGGATAGATCTAAAACAGCCCTTTTACTGCTCTTCGGAATTATGTTTTATTTTTTCTTGTACAGTAACTTAAGGCTATTAATTAGGTAGTATTATTAGGGAGACCCCTTAAAGGGTACCCCTTCCGAACCCTACTTCTGGCTCTCTTAAACGGGGCCTTATTGAGAGGGTCTATATCCCCAAGGGTCCCCGCAATCCTAACTCCCATTAGTCAGAATATGATCTTCATTCTGGTTCTACGGGCGGCTGAGGCCCTATGAAACCGAAAAGAAACTTATTATGGCAGCCGAAAAGGCGTGTGACATCCTATAGAACCTGGTGAAGCCTGTTAGCCTGTGTAAAATCCTCAAGTACTAGGACCCGGAGTAGGCCCTTATTCCCTTTTTTGAGGGTTCAGGTTCCCTTATAAGCCCCTTTAAACCAAAAAGGGCACCCTTTTTATTCCTAGGTTACTCTTGGGTCTAGAGTATGTAACCCGGTCAAGCCCTATTAACCCTGTAAAGCGGCGTGAAACCCCCTTCCTGCAAGCCCCTAAAGCTTAACCCTTGGGTACTGCCCCCACTCTGTAACAGTTACTGTAGACAATCCTTATAACTCAACATATTTGTAAATATAGCCCTGAATAAACCCTGAACCCTAAACCCTTAACCCATAACCCTAAACCCTTAACCCTTAACCCTTACTAACCATTGATATTGGGGGAGCTAAGGAGCCAGGGATGATGATAATCCCTATTCAATAAGGAGCTAAAGAGCCAAGGGAACCCCAAAACCGCTGGTTAGCTTAACCCTTAACCCTAAACCGTACCAAGGTTTGCTTCGAGGAGACGAGCTGCTCAGTGCGAGGGATGTTGCTGACGCCCTCGGCCGAGAAGGCGTTTAGGGTTGAGGGGTTCAGGGTTTCAGGGGTTTAGGGTTGAGGGGTTGAGGGGTTTAGGGTTGAGGGGTTTAGGATTTTTGGGGTTTAGGGTCTAGGCTTTGAGCATAAGGGGTTTGGTTTAGGGTTAGGGGTTAAGGGGTTCACGGTTTGGGTTGGGGGCTTGTAAGGGGTTCCGCAGCTTGCATTAGGGTTTTCTGTGCAAGTTTCAAAAATTGCTACTTGTCTTTCAGGCTTGTTGAGGTATTTGGGCGTGTTGTTTAGTTTAGTGGTTTGGAGTGTGGTTTGGAGTTGTTAAGCCTTAAACTAAACGCTTAGCCGTTTTGGGGTTTCGGGTTGAGGCTGTGAGGGCTCAGGTTTCAAGGGGTACTGGGTTTTAGGTTTAGGGGATTAGGGTTTAGGGTTAAGGGTTTTACAGTATCCATGAAGCTTTCTTAGTGTTAGGAGTTTTGGCTGGAGAAGGTCTTGTGGCTTCTCCGGCAAGGATATGAGAGCAGTACGAAGCTTGAGAGGTGTTATATTGAGCTTGTGCTCTTGTTCTTTCAGAATGTAAAGAGTACAGCTTTCAAGATACTGCCGTCTATGCGTTTGTGACTTCTGGCTTGGAGGCTTCGCCTCATCTCCGCAAAGAGCATCAATGTGGGAAACGGGAGCAGTCTAAGAAGCTACAGTACAACAGTAGAAACGGCTCCGATTTACGGTGAAGTTTGGGGCAACCGTCCAGCAATGGTGGTATTGTCACTCTCCCTTGTGACCAATATTATACAGTCTGCAAGTTATAGCAGCACTTTCTCTCGCCGGGCTTGTGGCGCTACTTTTCAACACCTTCAACCCTAAACCATAAACCCTAAACCTTAAACCCTAAGCCTTAAACCCTAAACCCACCCTAAACCCTACACGATAAGCAGCATCGAAAAGCATCAGCGAGCAGTCCCAGGCCCTGACCCCATCATTCACCCAAACGGGGGTACCAGGACTCATCCAGCCGGAGCTTGCAAGTAAGGTAGCTGGATGTACATGGGTGGTTGTCAAGACTATGGTCAAAAAGGGACCATCATTTTGAGAACCACCCTTATGTACTAATGACAGAGATCAAGAGCCTCATAAATCTTGGGGCCCATGGCCCGTCCTGATGGAAGGAAGGATTCATGAAGCAGGGTTATACGGAAGGTATCTAGAGCTTATCTCGTTATGACCCCAATCAGGAGCTTACAGCCCGTAACCTTTAGCCCTCGAACCCCGAAGCCCTACGCCATCCAACGCTATCCGCTGAGTCCGCTGAACCTTTCAGACGGGTTTCGGAAGACTGGAAACCCGGGCACTTGCCAAGACCGCAAGACCCTAACCCAGACCCCCGGGAGGATCCAAAAAGTAGATCCCTTAATGGGGGCTCCTATAAAGTACCCTTAGTAGTTTAGGGCCCCAAATTAGGGGATCTACTTTCTAGATCCTCCCGGGGGTCTGGGAAGCCGTTGATCCCGACAGCTTTAGTCGAGAGCCCAAAACCCTGAACACCCGAAGCTCGACCACTAAACCCCAAGACCTTCTAGGATGCCCATTAGTACCCTTATTCCCTTTTTGTAGTCCTAGGTTCCTTATAAAGTTACCCAATACCAAAAAGAGAGGCCTTTTTATTCGTAGGTTACTGGGTATCCTAGCCTTTAAACTCCAACAAAAGCCTAAACCCCTCCTGGAATCCTCATGGCACCCCTTTAAAGGAGCCCCATCAGGGAGCCCTTGACCCTTAAACCCTATTCTCCAAAGAAGGCCCAACTCATTCCACAGCCGAAGAGCTCAGTGAATGGGGGTTCCTGATTTTTTTCATGATATATACACCCCAAATCCTATTTTACGTCCTTAAAGGAACCCTATTCTAAGTATTAAGGCCCGTATACCATATTATTGTAGATCCCTTTCAGAACCCTTTAAGGAGCCCTTTTAAGGAACCCTATTCTAATTCTGTATAAGGCCCTAAACCCTAAACCCTAAGCCCTAAACCTTGAACCCTAGATAGGGGTGGTTCATCTTTGAGGTGATGGGTGAGGGTGTAGTTGAGAGCCGACTGCCGGCAGACGTAAAAGTCACCTCAGGTAAAATTCACCTCAGCCAAAAAAGCCCTAAACCCTAAACCCTATTCTAATTCTTAAGGCCCTTTTTGGCGCCTCAAAGAAGCCCCCGAAGAGATCGGAACTGGCGAGGCAGGGCTGCTTGCTGCAAAGCTCTCTGAGGCGGATCAGATCGAAGGCTATCCCGCTCCTCAGACGGTTTAGGGTTTAGGACTTAGGTGTTTAGAGTTTAGGGCTTAGGGTTTAGAGTTTAGGGCTTAGGTAGAGTTTAGGGTTTGGAGTTTAAGGTTCAGGGTTTAGCGTTTAGGATTCGGGGCTTAGGTTTTGGAGTTTGTGATAGTTGAGGATCGAGGGTCGTGCGGTTCTTTGCGCTGAGGGCGGGCTTGTGGTGTGCACTCTAGGGTGTAGGCCGAGATCTCGGGCTTAGGCTTGAGGGTGTCCGGTTGAGGGCTTAGGGCCTTCGGTCAAGAACTGACCTTGCATATTTCTGGCATTTCATGGGTAGCCCGAAGCCTAAACGCTGAACTCCAAAGACCCTGAATTCTCATTCGGTCTGGTCTATTGAGGGGCCCTTTGAAACCCCAAGTCAGTCTTTCTCTGAAGCGTAGTACTTGACTTGGGGAACAAGATGACCGGCACGGCTGCTGATGCTACTGCTTCTGCAACTGCTATTGCTACGCCTACTGCTACTACGACTACCACCACTACTTAACTATTCGGGTTTTAGGGTTTAGGGTTTAGGATTTTGCTGCTGCTGCTGCTGCTGCTGCTGCTGCTGCTGCTGCGGCTGGTGCCATCACTCCCTGCCAAAAGCAACAACAGTTGTCATATTATATATAGTTTGTGACAGTCTTGGGAGTGATGGCAATGAGGGGTGATAGTAATGAGGGGTGATGGCAATGAGGGGTGATGGCAAAGATGGCGATGATGGTCGTGGTGATGGTGACAATGACGATCATGGTAGTGGGAACGACAAAGGAGATAATGCCGGTGTTGCTGCTGTTGCTCAGCTTGATGCTGATAAGGGAGTTTCCGAAATTACGGGTACTTATGTTGGGGTCAAGGGTCCCCTGTTTTTCGGAAACTCCCAATAAGGATGTTGTTTGCATCGTCACACTGCAGCCCTGCGATTTTAAGAGGCTGACTAGCACGAGAGTGTATTCCTCTTTACACAGGACCACCGATACTAATGTCATTATTTACATGAGCATTGATGCTCCTACGAGTACTAATACATATACTAGTGCCAAGAGAGCAGTGGCAAACCCTAACCTTAAACCTTTGGCAGCTGTAGGCTCTGGCCCAAAGCCCAGGACTTGTACAGCCGCACTGTAGCAACGGTCCTCAACGATGCGGGCGTCGCGACGCCTGCGTACGTCTACCATCGGACGGGCAAGTTCGACCGCGCAAGTTGTTCCTCGGTCTGCCTTCTCCTACTCCCTAAACCGTACTTTCACTCGACCCTAAACCCTAAGCCCCTAAACCCTAAACCCTGAACCCTAAACCATAAATTAGACCCTAAACCCTAAATCCTAAGCTCCTAAAAGAAGAAGCCCCCGGGCGTCCTCCTTGCTGCTCCGAGTTCCCACTCGAATTTCAATCATGGCCTGAAAGACAACCAAATGTAAGTCTAATGTTCATAGGGAGAGCATGTATACTCACGAGAACCAAAAAAAGAACAGAAGAACAATCTACGAATCGTGGTTTGGGGTTTAGGGCGTAGGGTTTAGGGTGCAGGGCTTGGGGTCTCAGGTGAGCGCATCGCCGACGGCGATTGGCTTTCCCGGAAGCGGAGCTCTTAGCTCGGCAAGTTGTCCCAAGGAACGATGCCGAGGTGAAGCCCTGCGACGATGACCTTTAAACGGGCGACAATTAGGAATACCTTATTTTGGAGTCCTTATGATAAGGATCCTGCTATTTTAGTGTATTAGATAAGGATCCCCCATTCTCGGAAACTCCTCAATCAGGTAAATGGTCAATCCAGAACCTCCACCCGGAAGTCTGTGCGCTACACTTTACCCCCCAAAGCTTGTAGCTAAACAGAGCCTAAAGTCGCGCGCGCTGCCTGAATGCGCCTATGGGCATATACTCAGCAGCACGACGTGCCCTCAAACCCTCAGGAGCTAAACCCCGAAGCCTTCGATCCCCAAGTCCCTACACACTTCTAGACAACCCGCTTAATGTACTAGTTATACTAGAATGCACAATAATGTACCTTGAAGTGCTGGAATAGACCACAATATGCTACAAAGTCGTATTAAGTAAGGATTGGATCCTTCTCAAGACGGTCCCGAGAGCAACCAAGCGAGCGTTTGCCTGTACAGTTGCTCTGCGCAGTCGCTTGGAAGTGAGGAACAAAAGGGATGCGCTGATCCCTAAACCCGCCTAAACCCTAAGCCTTAAATCCTGAGAGGAAGGGAGTTCAACAAACAAGCCCTAACCCTAAACCCTGAAACGATACTTGGAGGGGCAGGGGACTTCGTCAGTAGGTTATAAGTAGTTACAAGTACCTTAAATGGAGTTACCCCAATTATAACCCTACTTATAACCTACTTACTAAGTCCCCTGCCCCTCCAAGTAGACCCTAAACACTAAACCGCCCAGCGGTTTAGGCTTTCTGCGGCTGTGTGCCCTCTGGTCTGAGTCCTCAAATCTCACTCGGTTTGGGCACCGTTATATGGGTGGTTGTCAAAATTATGGTCCCTTTTTGGGTCCTTATTATAATGCGGCACCTAATATTTAGGATACCCAAAAAGGGGCCATAATTTTGACAGCCACCCATATGCCTCACCTCGGGGCTTTGGTTTAGCTGTTTGCCGCCTTTGAGGCTGTAGGGTTTTGGGGTCTTAGGGATTTCAGGGTTTTGGGTTTAGGGTGGCATTTGCAATCCAGCCGCTGGTGAATGCCGGGTTTATCAGCCCCGACGATGAACATTGATTAGTGGAGTGTTGCCCAGGAGCCTGAATCTAGCATTGTGCTGGGAGTAGGTTTTACATGATCATGAGTATTTGTTCATACACATACACATAAAGATAGAGGGACAAAGAGTCGCGGCACAACCATTAAGATCCCTAAACCCTAAACCCTAAACCCACAATCTATGGAACACTGGAGGAATATGGAGAAAATCATCCGAGATGTACAGAAGTCTGAAGAAGAGAGGCTCGTGGATCCAGACACAACTAATGTGATTAGAGAAACAACAAGGGGTTCAGGGTTTGGGGTTCTTAGAATTTAGGGCTTCAGGTTTTTCGGGCGTTAGGGTTTTGGGGATTAGGGTTTAGGGCTCAAGGTTTAGGGGTCTAGAATCCCGAAGAAATCGAGCGAAATCAACCCATATATGGAAACATGCTTGGGATTGTTCACGCCGGAGACATCATTCTGTGATTTACGACAAGGCTATGCACCTGTAGAGAACTCTGGAGACATCTCCGCAGATCTCAATAAATCATCGGACTTTTGTTTGATGTCTAAGTCCAACAAGCGTCAACCATTTCCGAAGCATCTCAAGAGATAACTTCAGATACTTCGCTACCTCCTTGGGAAGCTCAGATAGATTCCGCGATGTAGCGATGGGGTTCTAAGTGAGTTGATTACAGTGATAGCTGTTGACAAGATGCCCGAAAACACTCTTCAAACCATTAAGGCCACTATGTCGGGCGTTTTCTTCAAGTCGCTTGAAGATCTCGTGGGCAGGTCCCCTTCCGCTTCCGCTTCTGCGGGGGATGGCGGCAATCAGCAGTGTTCCCCCTGCGCTCCAGGCCCGGGATAGACTGTGCAAATATCATATAATAAACTAGGTTACAAAACATGGTATAATGTAGCACCATATAATATCATTCAATATCATACAGTATAACATCTGCCAATATTCTTCATTGGCGTTCCCGGCACGAGTTTTGGCGTTCCCGGCACAAGTTTTGAAATCAAGGTCCCCCCCCCCATACTGTAACATTGTATGAATGTGCACGTATAGGTGTTGAACCCGCAAACGAAAGGGATCGGTACCACATGTGCAATACGGTATGCAAGTTCTGCCGTAGCTCTTTGAATGCGCAGCTTCAACCCAAAGAGCCGCAGCTATCAATTAAAAACCCTGAAGCTTGAATCTTACCTTTGGTTAGTAGGGAATGGAGGAAAGGCAAATGGGGTACAATGAAAACTACTATTACTACCATACTACTACCATATTACGATCATATTACTATCATATTACTACCATATAACTACTATTACTACCATTCTTCCATTCCCTACTAGCCCAAGGTAAGGAATGCAGCCTTCGAGCCTACGCCCCATTCCGCAATGCACCACCAGCCCGACGTCGCACCCCAACGGTTTGGGTTTAGGGTTTACCACAATGCACAGCATCTTCGGCGGTTAGTACGCAGTTGCCTGGCCACATATTTTTTTGAGTTACATGCCGCTGACCGGCTTCATGTGGTGCAAGCCCCGGTCATGCACGTCAGGCGTTGAGCCGCACCTATTCATACGTCCGCATGACCTGGTGGTCATCCCGGGCCTTTTTGTTTTCAGGTCTTGACATTGACGGGATCATCGTCGATACTGCCGGAGGTCAGTCGATCGTCACGCGCTTTCGGCAGGAGTGGCTACCTGCTAGTCTCCACGGCATCCGAAAGCTACAAGATTCCAGCGAATCAAGGTTTTAGGGTTTCGGGGTTTAGGGGGTTTAGGGGTCTAGCGGTTTAGGGTTTAGGGGTTTAGTGGTTTAGGGGTTTAGGGTTCAGGGGTTTAGGGGTTTAGGGGTTTAGGGTTTAGGGCTTACACGACCATGGAGAAGTCGCTTGGGCCAGGCTTGACATTGGAACTTGGCGCCTGCGCACGTTTAATGCGAGCAAACACAGTTTCAAAAGCATACCTTTCACCGGATTTGCTTTGTAGCTCCTTTCCAGTGTCTCTTCATGAACCCTTACAGACCCTTTTTTGTGATATCATAATATAAGCACCCGCGTAGAACCCTGGAAACTCTGCATGAGAGCCCCCACAGCGCCCTAACAAGACCCTACGGAACCACAGCCCCCAAATTCGAACTCCACTTAGACGTGCAGCGGCCTCAACAGATAGGGTTACATGTAGATATAGTTTTTTGGTTTCTTTACTGATATCCCAGTAAGTCCCCTGAACCTCTAGAAGCCACAGATTCCCATTTTGTAGTGAATAATAAAGTTTCTTTGTTATGGTAACTTGAATCAACAAGCTCCTTAACCAGAGTCCAGTAAACCCTACACCCTGAGCCTTAAATCCTGAACCGAGCAAACCCTAAACCTGTAAAGTTAAAGCACAGGCACCCTGTAGCAACCCTAAACGACGACCCCTAAACCCTAAACTCTGTTTAGCCCTGAGCCCAGACCCCTCAATCCTAAACCCTGCACCCTGTAGTAACCCTAAACCCCAAACTCTGAACCCTAAACCCTGTGGGCTTGTGAGTGACATCTCGTGCAGACCCAAAAAGGAGCCCTTTTAAAAAAGAAAACCCTGCAGTAACCGTAATTGGGGGAGTTTCCGAAAAATAGGGGACCCTAGTCTAGTATCCTAAATAGTAGGATCCTTATTATGAGGACCCCCAAATAAGCCACCCCCCAAATCTTCGGAAACTCTAAACCCTAAACTCTACACCCTTCATAGAACCCCTATAGATCCCTCAAAGGAACCCTGAAAGGATCCCTTTAAAGGTACCCCCCCAACTTTCGGAAACTCCCAAATCCTTATAGAGCCCTTTAAAGGAACCCTTATAGTACCCATATAGTAACCCTTTAAATTTCGGAAACTCCCATCTAGTCAGGTATGTTTCAAAATGAAACCTCCCTACAAGGCGGTTTAGAGTTTAGGGTTTAGGGTTTAGGGCCCTATATCATAGTACCCTTGTAGTATCCCCTATATAGATCCCCTTTTAAGGTTCCTCCCAATTCTTCGAAGGATGAAGCTGGCGACCGGCGGAAGGGCCGAGGTGCTCCTCGGGCTTTTGAGGTCCTTCGAGGGGCTTTGGGCGTTTTCGCCTTTTGAGGCTTATTTAAAGGGTCTTGATAAAGTTACTTTTTAAGGATTAAATTAATTTTGAGGATTAACTGGCCTATAGGATAGGGCTTTAAAAACTTACTCTTCCCAGTCTCTTAAGGACTTTTGCGGTTGTTTTGCGGCTGCAGAGGGCCTTTCCACAGGTGTTTGTAGGGTTTTATCAGATTCCACGTGTTTGTAGAGCGCCTTGCAGGACCGTTTTAGGGTTTGCAAAAGGCTCTTTCAAAAGGCTTGGAGCGCTTTTATGGCAACCCTCAACCCTAAACCCTGATAGGGTTTAGGGTTTAGGGCTTTCATGGCTTGGGGTACGGTCCACGGTTTCGAAGGTCTCGAGCTTAAGGTATTTGGCAGGTTTAGGAGCTAGGGTTCAGGGTTTAGGAGCTAGACTTTAGCGCTTTTATGGGCCAGTAGGCTTTTATGGTTTGAGGTCAAGACGGTTTTAAGGAGTTTGGGCCCTATAAGGCCTACCAGGTGCCAGCGGACTAGTCTTTTATCAGTCCTGGCAACCAAACGCCTACCCCAAGGTCAGCGCCGCATAGTCTCTATGCCTATGTAACTATTCTACTGTGCAACCCCTGTATGGGAGGCCACATAATGAGCGCAAGAGCTTTCAGACCCTAGGAAAGATCAGAGTGCAAAGTAAGCCGGAGACCCGGGCCTGTTCGTGCTTCTTAAGTCGTTGAGACCTGAGCCCCTGAAGCTTGGTTTCCCATTCCTTAGTTGCTGAGTGAGCACACTCTACACTTTTTGGGATAATGTGATCTCTTAGAGAACTGAAAGTATACACTTTTTGGAGCTTATCAACTCAGCAACTACTTGGAGGGGCAGGGGACTTAGTAAGTAGGTTATAAGTAGGGTTATGAGTACCCGAAATGGAGTCCCCAACCATAACCTACAAACGACTTACTAAGTCCCCTGCCCCTCCGAGTAGGTTTCCATCCGGCAGGAGCTCTCTGAGACGAACAAAAATGGAGCACTACTGGTGGTCCCTTCTCACGAGCTTCTCTGATTTGTTCCTGGGTCGAGGGTTGTAGAACGAAGCTTTACGCTTACCGTTTCAGGGCCATGTCGCGAAGGTTCAGGGTTGTTCTAGCTGGTTGTAGAGGGTCTACGTATTTTGATATAGGAGTTTCCGATAATAGGGGACCCTAGTATAGTACCCTAAATAGTAGGATCCTTATCATAAGGCCCAAAATAAGGTATCACTAATTTTCGGAAACTCCCATGTGGCTTCATTGAAGCTGAGGTTCGGGGCTGTATTTGCGGAGGCTTTGGGTGATTTGTTGATGAGTGATGCCGGCTTGAACTCCGAAGGGCAATTCGTCACAATCATATGGGAGTTTCCGAAAATTAGGGGTACCTTGTTTTGGGGTCCTTATAAACAGGGACCTACTATTTAGGTAGTACATAAGGCTTCTCTACATCGGAAACTCCCATATCTCATATCTCCTAGGTTGCCGTCCCCAAGGTCTTAAGCACTGAGATTTCAGCACTGAACTTCATTGTCCCTTCTTTGTCTGCTAATGTCGCTGATGTCCTTAGGCCTAAACCGGCTCTCGGAATGAATGGGGAATATGTGGGTGGTTGTCAAAATTAGGCACCTAGTATTTGGGGTACCCAACAAGGGACCATAATTTTGACAACCACCCCTATATTATAGTACCCTTATAGATCCCTTATAGATCCCTTATAGTAACCCCTATATAGAACCCTTTAAAGGAACCCCCCATGTGGGGTTTTTTGTAAGTTGCAAAAATGGTTTAGAGTTTAGGGCTTTGGGTGTTGGGCTTCGGGCTCAGATCTTAGGGCCATAAGGGTTTGGGGATTCGAGATCAGACGGTTTGGGGTTTAGGGTTTAGGGGTTTAGGGTTTCGGGTTTAGGGTTTAGGGCTCAGGGTTTAGGGTTTAGGGTTTAGGGTTTAGGGGTTTAGGGTTTAGGGGTTTAGGGTTTAGGGCTCAGGGTTTAGGGCTCAGGGTTTAGGGTTTAGGATTTAGGGCTCAGGGTTTAGGGTTTAGGATTTAGGGCTCAGGGTTTAGGGTTTAGGGCTCAGGGTTTCGGGTTTAGGGTTTAGGGCTTAGGGTTTCGGGTTTAGGGCTCAGGGTTTTGGGTTTCGGGTTTAGGGTTTAGGGCTCAGGGTTTAGGGTTTAGGGTTTAGGGATGAATGAAGGAGTTTCAGGCTTGAGGGAGGAGGCGGTGCTTTGCTTGAGAGATGCACGGTTTTAAGCAAGTAGGCTCCACCCTGCGGGGAATCTGAGATGCGACCTGAAGACTTGAATCATCTTGACGCTGTGGAAACAACGTTCTGCAGGAATTTGCAATCTGCAAGTGGGCAGTTCTCTAAATTACGGTATATTTTGGGGGGTCCTTTTTATAAGGGTGCCGTAGCATTTTGGGGACCTAGAAAGGGACTCTCATGTAGAGAACTACCCAAAGTAAACCCTAAATCCTAAATCGCCTGAACCCTAAAGCCCTAAACCCTGAAGCCCTAAACCCCATCTAGAGAACTACCCAAAAATATGCGGCTGGCGTGCCTCGAGATGCAATGGAACAACCTGCTGTCATCGAGAGCAAGGGCCAGATTCGGAAGCCAAAGGTGCTTCTGCTCTGGTAGCTAGGCCATTTGAACTTTCTGTGCGCGCCCCAAAATCTCCAGAGGTAGAGAGTAGAGACAGCAGCCCGGTCTTGAGTCAAGGCCTAAGTTCGGTTCCCTAAACCCTAAACTCCTAAACTCCTAAACCCTAAACCCTAAATCCTAAACCCTAAAACGTCAAGGCAAAACCCCCCAAAAACCCTAGGAACCCTAGCAGCAGGGACCCCACCAGCATGGCGCTCTGACAGCATGCTCCAGCTTCAGTTGAGGACCCCCCAAAAAGCACAGAAGCATAAGCATTTTGTGGGGATACCCCTACCTTGTTGGGCTTCATTATAAGAGGTTTTTATGGGATATCCCTATCCTTATTTATGCTTACGTCCTTTTTTGGGGCCCTTTTCAGGTGCTCCTTCAGACCTTGGGGATTGGATCACCGTGACGCCTCAACCCTGAACCTTACACCATGAATCCCGAACCACGAATTCCGAGCCCTGAACCATAAACCCTCGAATGCGGCTTCCTAAAACCTATGCTTGGGCTTCCTTGCGTGAATTTGGGGCAGTTCGCTCTCGACTTGTGCCACCTTTAGGGTGGACAGCGGAGATGCCGGAGACGTGCCACGGCTACGGCTCACTTATATAAGGGGTTCTCTGAGGGATTGTTGGGGTTCCGCTGTGGTTCTATGAGGGCCAAGGTGGGGAGGGGTTTACGTTTTTTTGGGGGTGCGGTTTTGTTTTTTTTTGAGCCGGGGTTTAGGTTGTTTAGGGTTTACGATTTAGGGTAGGGGTTGGGGCTTGGAACTTAGCTTCTTGGTGTTCAGCTATGTTTCCAAGTCCCAAGAAACCAGGACCATCCCCAACCTGAAACTTGGAAACCTTGGAGAAACGGGCATGAGGAATAGTTTGGGGTTTTGCAGACAGACGTTCCGACGCGCAGTGTTGCTACTTGTGAACATGATCGGTTTCAGTGACTTTGTAAAGTTGTGCAGGAGTCAACCGATGACGTTGAACTGTGGCTCAAGGAAAAAAGCGTCAATCAATTCGAGTGTACTCACAGTTGCGTGCGGTTTCAGTGGCATGGCTTCTGGAGTGCAGCCCGAAAGGGCAAATGATAACGATCCTTTTCATGATCTTCCTGCTGGTTATCAGCAGGTTATGAGCCCAAGTGGGCGTGCTGCGCGGGTGGTTGATCCGATTCATGATGACGTTAGGCCAAATGGTGTGGCACATGCGGCCAGAAGGACCCCTGCAGATGACGCAGCCTACGCACAGGCCCTTGCGGCAACCGGAACGGGAGCACCCGAGGCTCAATCTGCGGCTACAGCGGATGGCAGTGGTGCAGCGGCCTTAGGGCCAACCGGAACGGCTGGGCAGGGTCTGGATGGTGTTAGCAGTGGACGTATTCAGAGTGATAATGGTACCCAGTCGGGAAGAAGGATGTCGAGGATCGGTCATGAGGTTTTTTCATTGCCTACGGAGTCGCATGCAGCAGGACAAGACCCGCTTCTGTTTCCGCATTCTCAGCCGGCAGTGTCAACAGCTGTAAGACCGGTTAACCCAGAGCTACTCCTGCCTTCGCCAATGCCCTCTCCAACTGCTCAGGCCGTGGCGACGACGGATACTTCGCTGGGCTACAACCTAGCACAGCAGGGAGCTGCAGCTATGAGATGGGTTACCAAGCTGAGTGAGTTTGTGCAACGGAGAGCATCTTACGTTACCCAGGGACGTGCTGAAGAGCAAGAGCAAACCACAGTGGTTCGTGAAACTATGTGGTCACCTACATCTAGGGTAGCAACGAGTGGAGAAGATCAACCCTTGTTCAGTCGCTCACAAGCTAGGCGCCTGCAGGACATGGCAACAGCAGCACCTCAGCTGTATGGGTCGGTCCTTCAACGAAGCGGCGGCTCGGAATCGTCAGCTTCATACACCAAGGATCAACTGGAGTCTGAGGTTCGGCGGCAGGTGGAGCAGGCCATGGAGAAGCAACGTGGTATTTCGGATGAGAACAGAGTCTTGAGGGCAGAGCTTGAGAAATTGAGGCGGGAAGTTACTATGAGACAAAGTGCGACCGCGGCGAGTAGTGTACGTGATCCACTTGCGCGGCATGGGGATGATGCTGGGTCTCGAGGGCACGACCAGGTAAGTGCCGGAGGCAATCCAGCAGGACTTTCCGGACATGATCGTGGGCAAGGGGGTTGGGAGTTTGGAGTATGTGCACATGATCAAGTACCCGGAGGCAATCTTGAAGGACTCCAGGACCGGGGTGCTGATGGAGCAGGGAGTGTGTTGCTCGAAGCAAGGACCGGTGAAGTGAGAAATTCTTCGGGGCCTTTGGGGCAGGTCAGTGCACCGGGAATAGTTGAAAGTGATGTTCGCGGCTCAGTACTTGGAGGCAATCTTGGAGGACTTCGAGGACATGATGGTGCCCAAGGGCGTGAAGGTCGCTTGGAGTATCATGGAGGGCATCGGGGCAATCCACCAGGACTTTCGGGACATGATCGTGGGCAAGGGGGTTCTTTGAGGTCGAGGAGTCAGAGCCCTCCGAAGAGCAACGTAGCCGATCTTATGGGGCGCTACGGAGGTTCCGAAGGTAAAGAAGTAGATGGTCCACCAGGTCTTCGTCGAGGAGAATATCCACGCCAAGGCCGAGCAGGCGGTGAAGGACACGGGGACCGGAATAGGAAGGTTATGTTCGGAGGCAATCCAGCAGGACTTTCGGGACATGATCGTGGGCAAGGTGGTGTTTTTAATGAGTATGCGTCGGGCATCTCTGGTGGTCCTTTTGTGCAGTATGCGTCGGGCATCTCTGGTGAAGGTGATAGACTAGATGCGCAGAATGGGGTCGAGTCTGGTGTGCCTACGCCGGGAGTGACAGAACAGCCTCAGAGTCCAATGGAGGCGCTGGCGCAAGGGATCGCACAACTGCAGACGGCTATGGCAATGCAAATGGGGCTGAGCGCTTCTAAACCAGAGGCGATAAGGCCGGGAACCTCAGCGTCGGAGTTGCCTAAACTTGTGGAGGCAGACGAGATGGCGGCGATCAACGTTGGAGATTGGTTGCATGGTCTTAGTGGACCGATGGGAGACCTTACAGACGGCAGTGCTCAGTGGTGGTCCCAAGTGTTATCCAGTTTGGACGCTTACTACGGGGAGTATATCAACGCGTCGGCGGTGAAGAAGCTCCAGATGAAGCCGGAGGACTATGCGGGTCCAATGCTGAGGGAATCCAAGTGGCTTCGTGTGGACAAGAGGGCGGCTTCAATGCTTCTCCAGGCGATCCCGGAGGCGATCCGCACGGAGGTCCTGGCGAATCGTCTCCAGACGACGCTGGCGATTCTTGCGAGGATCATGACGATCTACAGACCAGGGTCGGCGGTGGAGCGACAGCAGGTGCTGAAGGCATTGGAGTCACCAGGCAATGCGACAAACCCCATGGAGTTAGTAGAGTGTCTTCGAAAATGGGCTCGGTGGTTGAAGCGGGCTCAGGATCTGGGGTTGCAGGTCCCAGACCCTTCGATTTTGTTGAAGGGGTTGGACCAGTCGGCCAAGGCACAGCTCGAGCGACACAGCGAGGTGATGTTCCGCACCAACATGCTTCGATACAGCCTGGAGTTGGACTCGACCCCGGTGCTTGGAGCAGTGGTGAAGTACCATTCCCATTTGTTGGGAGAGCTCGAGCAGATAGCCTACAGGGGGCGGATCAAGACCACTCCGAGCTCAACGGCAGCACTGAGGGCTATGGGCACTGGAGCTAGTGAAGCGGCCCACGCAGGGTCTCCGAAGGGGGTAACGTCGCCTTCGTCACCTACCTCAGCGGCGCAGCGTCCTTGCAAATTCTTTGTGTCCGAGGCTGGCTGCCAAAGGGCTAACTGCAAGTTCACGCACGATTGGGCAGCGATACCTCGTGAAGAGCGACAAGAGCGGTGCAAAGGATGCGGGGCCAAAGGACATATGAGACGGAACTGTCCGGTCAAGGCTGGAGGAGGAGAGCAACCTCGACGCGAAGACGGTAAGGGAGCACCACCGCGGCTACGACCTATGGGAAAGGGTGCAGATGCGAAGCGGGATGATGGAACCGTGCCTACGACTTCTACCACTACGGCGGGTGCCTCTACCAGTACGGGGGCTAACTCGACAACGGCGGCGGCCTCGGCACCTTCGTCTTTGGGGGCGTCTACGGATTCCACTTCGTCGTCTTCGGCAACCGCAGTCGGCCCGGAATCTGGAGGTGGACCAAGGGATGTTGATGAGTTTTTGAGGAACGCGACTCAAATCCTTAAGTTGATGACGGAGCAGCAGAGCGCGGCGAGACCATCACCATCTATGAAGATGCTTAAGAAGGCGATCATGGAGTATGAGAGCAAAATGGCTCTGGTGGATAGCGGGGCTACTCACCCTTTGCGGCGGGCCTCAAATGCCGAGTGGGACAGCGCACCGGAGGTGGAGGTTGTGGTTGCGGGCGAGGACGTGAAGAAAATGAGACAGAACCGCGCTGGCACCTTACTGTTAGACCCAGCGACAGAAAGGTCACAGACGATCCTGCCTGTAGGAAGTTTGGTGGGGGTGCTGGGCTATGAAATGATATGGTCAAAGCGGCGGTGTTACCTACGGTCCCCGGAGGGGAAGGAGCTGCCAATGAAGATCAATACAGGGTGTCCTGAGGTTGCTGAAACTACCGCGTTGGAACTCATCGCCAGGATCGAGGAAGAGAAGTTGTTGGAGCTAGAGCGCAATGCGGAGTACACCAGGACAGCTATGATGAGGGCACAAGAGCTTCAGAGGGACCCGGTGTGGGAGAAAAGCATGAAGGCCTATGTTACGGAAGGCAAGTTCGAGGATGGATTTCGGGCATTGTCATCGTCGCCATGGATCTACGACCACCTCAATGTGGAGTTGGCTAGGGTTGTTTCGGACCTTCCGAAGTCGGATGGTGAGGCCTGGAACCTGATGCAGCAGCTCGGCTTCAACCGAAGGATGCGGAAGCGCATGATGAATAAGGACTGGATAGTTAAGCTCTGCAGTGGGAGGAGATCACCAACGGATAAGTTGTTCAAGGTTGTGGAGAGCAACGGGACGATGGTGCTGGATATAGATCGGCAACGACTCTCGCAGCTGGACCTTCTGAAGGCCGGGCCCGGCGTGATGATGATGTTACTATGGGGAGCGGCTACGGGGCGCATTGCGGGTGTCATTGCTGGTCTGCCAAAGCATAGTGCAGAGGAGCATGTGTTACGAGCCGTGTCCTTGTACGAGGTGGCGAAGGCTGGGAGAGCAGCTATGTGCGAGGCAATGGATGTTCCATTGGATGGGGTGGCGTTTGCATTGTGGGCTTCGGCGGAGGCTGAGGAAGATGAATGCTCCCTAACCTGGCAGTTCAAGTGGTTTCGGCGGTGGATGGCGGAAGGGCATATGGACCTACTTCATTTTGAGCAAGGCGGCCTTGGACATCCTCTACGTCGACCTACATCTATGGCTACCAACTTGGACGTTGTGGAGTTAAGAGGTGTGCGAGATCAACGACTACATGATGAAGACTCCAAGGGGGCGTGGTCAGCTTGGGCGCCGATGATGGCTCGTGTGTTAGCTCGGGGCCTGAAGAGATGGAAGATGAGACCAGCTTGGTATCCCCGGCTCGTAAAGGCGCTCAAGGCGGTGGACCGGAGGGCATGGGAGCGGCACTTGATGAACGACCATCTACCTTACAGACCAGACTGTTTGCAGTGCATCCACAATGCTACCGGGCGACCTCACCGTCGATGCCTACACCGAGACTGCTACGTGATGAGTGCGGATACTCTGGGTCCAGTGCGTGTTCCGGGTCCCAAAGGTGAGCGGTATGCCGTTGTGTTCACCTACCAGTTTCCCAAACAACATTTGGTGCCTGAGGACCATCCTCTACCAGATGAAGAGCTTGATGGGTGGAACTTGGATGCAAAACCTAAAGGTGAGTCTGAACTTCCTACAGAAGGTGATGTGCAACCTTGGGAGGAGGATGGCGATGATGAGCTACCTAAGGGTGAACTTGATGAACTACAACAGCAGCATCAACAGCCACCGGAGGAGGAAAGTGAGGAAATAGATGTGATGCCAATGGTGGAGAAGTTGACTGCCAAGGACACAGAGTCCGCAGAAGATTGGTGGGAGTTCCGAGAGGCGGCTGGGGTGCTGATAAGGCACCACGTGGCTCCCAGGACCAAGTTGTTCAGACCTACTTCGTGGAATGCGTGTCCCCTACACCCTGCTACGCTTGACTATACTCGAGTGACGGAGGTGAAGTATGTGGGTGGCGGCGTGGAAACGGAGACTTCGGACTGGCATGGAGTTCAATCGGGAGCTCGGGCTTTGGATCGCGAGTGGACGGGGCGAACTACGTTCCGTGTGTCAGCTGCGGAGATCCCAGAGGAAGAAGAGGAGATGCAAAAGGACGAGGCGGCTTGGGAAAAGCTCATCGGCGACCTCACTAAGCCGGTGGAAATGGACACGATTTACATGGTGTATCCGGTACGCTCCAGGCGAGGAGGAGACATCATGTTGGCGGTCCAGGAGGCGGTTCTCAGGTTGAAGCTGCTTGGGATGCCGGTGGCGCGACTTCATTCTGATAGGGGCTCTGAGTTCGCCTCAAAAGGGTTGAGAAAGTGGCTGCTGGACAGGGACATCTACCACACTCGGTCCGAAGCACTAGTACCTCAGACCAATGGTGCTGCAGAACGTGGAGTACGTTGGTTTAAGACCATGGCTAAGGTGTTGATGGCGGAGGCGAAGGTGGGCCCAAAGTTTTGGACAGTAGCTATGCAGCACGCGGCCAACCGGAGGATGTACGAGCGGCTGGGCTTGGAAAAACCACGGTTGCTGAAGTTCGGGTCGAAGGTGATGATAAGAAGGAAGGTGTTCGGCAACAACAAGAAGTACGACCTTACCGATCGTTGGGAAGAGGGAACCTACCTGGGCTTGTCGGATACGATCAAGGGAGGAGCAGTGGTGTTGCGGCCTAGTGGTGTCATAACGGAGACGCTCAACCTGAAGTTGGACATTGTGGACCCGCATCTACTTCTGGCGGAACCTGAGGAGGATAATGGAGCTGGTGTTGGGGACATTGGTGTACAAGAAGTACCGGTTGTAGATCTGCCGGACCCGGCACGTCGATTGAAGGCAAAGACAACGCCTCCTGCACTTCGGGTACTTAGCCTTAGTGAACATCATGAACTACAACGAAAACGAGGGCCCAGTGGATGGACTATGAGGTCAGTCGTTAAACAACAAGAGGAAAGGGCCAAGCATTTTTATGACATGGGCAAGTTTGACTTGGAGACCTGTGCCGAAGTTCTTCGTGGAGTTCATCTGGAAAGGGCTAGGCGACAAGGGCGGGGGGAAGCATCCTCGTTGGTGCTGGGAGCTTATGTTCATGGAGGTTTGCGGGGTGCGACGTTATCTTCGAGGAAAAGGCCCTGGTTGACTAAGTACCTCAACATGGTGTTGCGGCAACGGACTGTTGAAACTACGGATCGTGAACCTTCATGGGCTACCTTGGGAGTGTTCCGGGCCGCGGATATACCACCTCATCGTGACTTACGAAACCAACCTGGTTCGGAGAACTTTGTCATGGAAGTGGGGTCCAAGTCTGTGGGTGGATTGTGGTTGTCTGGAGGAGAGGCTCAGGACTCAGGGAAAGGTTTTGACAAGCCGCATCAACGAGAACTTCCGGATGGCTCTGTGGTGGAGGGGGTAGTCATGGATATCACGAAAAAGGTGGCGGTGTTTGACCCGAAAAAGACGCACTCCTATATCAACCCTGAGGACGGAGACAGATGGATTGTTGCTGGGTTTACGCCGCTTGGAGTTGAACAGCTACCACCTGAACCTGTGTCGTTCCTGAACAAATGTGGGTTTCCTTTGGACCGGACAGGCTTGGAGATTCACACTGTGGAGCGGGACGAGGTCGTTATGGAGGATGGTTCCTACTCAGAGATGGACGATGACGAGAGCGAAGAAGAGGAACTTGAGAACCGAGCTCGTGTTTTGCGGTGTGTTCTACAGGAGGAGCGAAGGGAGCTTGAGGAACCCGAGGTGGCAAATGGTTTCCAGGACAAGGTTGAGAACGCGTTGTGGGAATGTGAACGGGAACTTCACTGGTTTGCTGTGCGCGACATGAAGAAGATTATGAAGGTTTCTCCCGGGCAGGCTCAGGACGTTGAGGTTGAAAGACTACTGGGAGACCTGGGCGGTTCGTTGGAGGTTGTGCACAATGTCAGCTTGCCGGAAGTAAAGAAGTACCTAGACCGTTGGAAGCCGGCCATTCTCAAGGAGGTCCAGGCGCTGATTGAGTCGGGCACCGTGCGGAGACTAAGTCCGGAACAGACGCGGGAGTTGAAGAAGGATGGACTGGTGGTTTTACCAGGCAAGGCGGTCTTTACCGCCAAACCGCCGGTGGATGCTTCGCTTGGTGGAGACAAGTACCGCAGGAAATGTAGAATAGTGGTTTGTGGAAATTACTTGCCGGACCGCAACTTGAACGTGTACGCCTCTGGAACAAGTTCGGATTCGTTGAGGGTCGCTATAGCCTATGCTGTGAAGATGGCGTGGTTAATTGGCAGCACAGATGTGGCAAATGCTTTCACGTTGGCGCCGATGCCAGGTGATAGACTTTATGCAGTGTCGCCTCCTACTGTGGTTGTCATGGCTCAGGGAGCAGCGCCAGGGGAAACCTGGTTGATCGAGAGGGTTCTCTACGGTCTGCGGGAGGCTCCTCGACTTTGGGGTTGCTTCAGGAATGAGCGCTTGGCCGGAGCACGCATCGAGACGGAGCAGGGCACCCTCGTCCTTCGAAGTATGACGACAGACGAAAACATGTGGAAGATATGTTTCGAGAATGATGAAACGATGACTCCTCAAGGGCTACTGCTGGTGTACGTAGATGACATTTTGTTCTTGTCGACCAAGGAGATTGTCTTGAAAGTGTACCAGTGGCTTATCCAGGACTGGAAGTGCTCGGCCCTGGAATGGATGCATGAGGGTTTTATCAGGTTCCTGGGAATAGAACTTCGAGTATGCGAGGGCGGCGTGCACCTTTCTCAGGCGGGCTATGTACGAGATCTCCTACGGCAACATGGAGTACCAGAACAACCAGAGGCAGGTTTGACCATCCCATGTCAACGGGAATGGCTCCAGGATGATTCGGAGGAAGAGCCTGAGGCAGCTCCGGAAGAGTCTGTTGAGGGCATTGCGAATGCGGCTGTGAAGACGCTCAAGATTGCCAGCGGGAAGGGTGTGTTGGTGTTCATAATGGTGTGCTTGCTGTTAATTAAGGGAGTTCAAGGAGCCAAGGACGATCTACAATTGGATGGATCGGTGGAGTTTTATGCCATAGTGATCCTGTGTGGGTTAGCATGCGTGGTGGTCTGGGAAATGATCAAGAAAGTAATGAGTGGAGTCTCAGCAGCTTGGAAGGCATGGACACGCAAGCAACGAAAGGTTGAAAGGCTCCGTGAGAGAGCAGAAGCGGCGGTTCGTGATGAGTTTCGCCGTCGAGAAAGGGAGGAACCCAGAACACCGAGGACGCGATCTACAACAGACATGTATGAGACGCCAACGAGGGCGTCAGAGCAGCCTGCATCGTCAAGCTCCGGAAGAGGGCCTACGAGGATTACTACGACAGCGTGGGATCGGCACCTGGACACTATGCCCGGGGCATCGTCATCAAGAGCACCAGGACAGCTTCTACTCAGACAGAGGTGTTGCAAGGGTTCATCGAGGCGGACCGCCTAAGAGCTTTTGAGGGCCCGTTCTGGATCACTGCTAATGGTGACCGAGTGCATACGGTTCAGGGATGTCATGGTCAACGGAATGCGTTTCGACCTGCTAAATCCTACACGCTGTGCAACTACTGCGATCGGGAGAAGCCTCTCTTTGTAGTGATGCCTCCGAACCATACTTAGGAGGCAAGGAGGAGTGCAGACAGACGTTCCGACGCGCAGTGTTGCTACTTGTGAACATGATCGGTTTCAGTGACTTTGTAAAGTTGTGCAGGAGTCAACCGATGACGTTGAACTGTGGCTCAAGGAAAAAAGCGTCAATCAATTCGAGTGTACTCACAGTTGCGTGCGGTTTCAGTGGCATGGCTTCTGGAGTGCAGCCCGAAAGGGCAAATGATAACGATCCTTTTCATGATCTTCCTGCTGGTTATCAGCAGGTTTAGGGTTGAGGAGGAATCCGAAAAAACCCAATCCTAAACCCTAGACAGCGAGGGCTTCGGTTTTCCTTGACCCTTGCAGGGCACTCGCAACCCTCAACCCCTAAACCCCAAACTCCAAACCCTAAACCCCTGAACCCCTAAACCCTAAACCCCTAAACCCCTAACCCCAAACTCCAAACCCTAAACCGCTGAACCCCTAAACCCTAAACCCCCAAACCCTAAACCCCAAACTCCAAACCCTAAATCCCTAAACCCCTAAACCCCTAAACCCTAAACCCTGAATCCCTAAACCCCAAACCCCAAACTCCAAACCCTAAACCCCTAAACCCTAATCCCCAAACCCTAAACCCCTAAACCCCTAAACCCCAAACTCCAAACCCTAAATCCCTAAACCCCTAAACCCCTAAACCCTAAACCCCTAAACTCCTAAACTCCTAAACCCCTAAACCCTAAACCCCTAAACCCTAAACCCCTAAACCCCTAAACCCCAAACTCCAAACCCCAAACCCCAAACTCCAAACCCTAAACCCCTAAACCCTAATCCCCAAACCCTAAACCCCTAAACCCCTAAACCCCAAACTCCAAACCCTAAACCCCTAAACCCCTAAACCCCTAAACCCCTAAACCCCCAAACTCCACACCCTAAACCCCTAAACCCCTAAACCCCAAACTCCAAACCCTAAACCCCTAAACCCCTAAACCCCTAAACCCCTAAACCCCCAAACTCCACACCCTAAACCCCTAAACCCCAAACTCCAAACCCTAAACCCCTAAACCCCTAAACCCCTAAACCCCTAAACCCCCAAACTCCACACCCTAAACCCCTAAACCCCTAAACCCCAAACCCGCAACCTTCAACCCCTAAGTCGGTTCGGAGGCTCCAAAGTCTCCCCAAGACTCCGGTACCTGAGACGGTTTACGGTAAACCTGTACTAGGGTTTAGGGTTTAGGGTTTAGGGTTTAGGGTTTAGGGTTTAGGGTAGAAGCCAGAAAGTTGGAACATCATTCTCCTCATGCCCTTAAGGTAAAGTATAAGGGGTCCTAGCACGAATCCTCCTAAAGCCATGTTCCAACTTTCTGGCTTCTACGGCAACTCAAGGCTATTAGTCAGAATATGATCTTCATTCTGGTTCTACGGGCGGCTAAGGCCCTATGAAACCGAAAAGAAACTTATTACAGTAAACCCCATAAAGTTGGAAACCGGATAAAGGCCAAATGGTGCTGGGATTCCCTTTACATTACTCTTAAGGATTGAGGCTATGGGGTTTCCAACTTTTTGGCTTCTACTGTAAGGCCAGGGCTCAAGAGATGGGAGTTGCCGAAACCATTTTGAAGGGCTCCTTAAAGGGATCTATAAGGGTTCTACAAAGGGTTTAGGGTTGGGTTTAGAGTTTCCGAAAGTAGGGGGCCCTAATATTAGTACCCTAAACAATAGGATCCTTAGTATAAGAACCCCCAAAATAAGGTACCCCTAATTATAGCATGTTGTAGTATACTGTGGTATATTTATAGTATACTATTGTATGTATATATATATATACATACACACATATTCAGCATATAACCATCGACTCACGTATACATATATGACATAATAAAGATATTCAGTATAGAGCCGTATACTACGGTATATTATCACTTGGAGTGTAGGTTACAAGAGACTTCCAACGGATTCTTCTTGTCGGCATCGTGCCGCAACGAACGTCGGCATTGGCGATCGTTCAGGTTTTAGGATTAGAAGTTTAGGGTATTCCTTCGCAAGTGCATCATCACGTACTCATTCGTATTTTCGGTGCTGATGGCCACAATAAGGATGATCATGAGGGTGAAGGTACAGGTGTACATTCTGGCTGCGCTAAATGCGAAGCCATGAACTCTAGAATAAACCTTATCGTTCCACCTGCGCTTTTACTGTAATATACCCCGAAACCCTATTCTAGCTGGGCTAAGTCGCCGGCGAGTGGCAGCGGCTTCCGGTGTTTTACTTCATCTAGCAAACAACTTGCTCTTACGATTGCACGCGTCAGGGTTCCTCGCAAGCCTCCCTAAACCCTAAACCCTAAACCCTAAACCCTAAACCACACGTGTCTACTTTGATCCGATGTCTCTCACGTCTCGGGTTCGGCTTAAGTTTAGGGTAGATCGCCAACCGTGAGCCCAGAGGCCCGAGCATGGAGCCCTCAATAAAAGAAAAGTTTCCCTCAGTAGGGTTTAGGGTTTAGGGTTTAGGGTTTAGGGTTTAGAGTTTAGGGTTTAGGGTTTAGGGTTTAGAGTTTAGGGTTTAGGGTTTAGAGTTTAGGGTTTAGGGTTTAGGGTTTAGAGTAAAACAGACCCAATGCCATTTTATGAGCATTCAGGTCTTGCAGTACCCTCCCTGAAGCAGAGAGCCTGACCCTAAACCTGAACCCTAATTCAAGCGGAGCCGGCCCAAGATGTTAAGTCCTAACGGAAGCTTCGTAGCACAGTGCTGAGCACTGAGACGAAACACAGAGCCGTATGTCCTGTCCAGGATTCTTGATCCGAAGCCTTTAAATCCAACGCCCTAGATCGAGAAAGCTCCCTAAAACCCCCAAAACCGTAACACCACAAGCTCCTAAACCCTGGCCTAAGCCCTCCAATCCCAAACCCGAGATCCTGAATCTCCTAAACCGATCCTATAGGTATGACTTTAGTCGAGGGCAATCCTCGCGTGCACTTCTGCGACACTGTTAGAGGCTCCTTCCGCTTTTTGGCACAACTTCCTAAATGGAACTCCAGAAAGTTGGAATATGGATTAATGGTAGGATCCCCTATAAGTTACCTTAAAGGGGTTACGATAATGATATTCCAACTTTCTGGCTTCTACTGTAAGACAACGCCTGCAGCAAAGGTAAGCTTCGGGTCGTGGAGTTTCGAGGTGCCTACTTAAAGGATCATGGGACTTAGTAACTAGGGTTATAATCAAGGTAACTATACTTATAACCCCAGTTAGGGCACTTGTAACCTTACTTACTAAGTCCCATGATCCTCCAAGTAATGAAAGTTTGGTGTTTTGGGCTTTGGGTATACAGTTTAGGGCTTAGAATTTAGAAGTGAAGTTTAGCCCTAGAATCCAAGAAGAACCGTCCGAGAATTCAAGAACCGGGGCTTGCATCCCGGCGCTCTCTGAACAACTGAGGGTTGGAGCTCCCCAGAGCCATACCTCTTAATTAAGGAATATGGCTTAAGTTATATAGGGCTTCATATTATGATTTAAGCTATATTCCTTAATTAAGGGGTATTGGGCTCTCTGGGGAGTCTTCGTAGCTGGGTAAGCGCTCAGCCTGAGCCGATGCTCACCCGAAGTTGAACCTCGAAGCTTAGCTACTGATCCTACAGCCCGGGTCTAGGGTGTAGGGCTTAAAAGTCCTTCAATCCTGAAGCCCCCAAATCCTGAAAAAAAAGAGAAAGTCAGAAGGCGGAGGGATTCATAGAATCTTTGGCGTGTTTGCTGAGGGGGCAAAGGACAAGGCTGGCCATTGCTGGGTCTTCCAGACGAGGCTCTGGGCTAAGGGCTCGTGGGTCTAGGGATGAGGTTTTACGGTTTAGGGTTTACGGTTTAGGGTTTAGGGTTTAGGGTCTAGGGATTAGGATCTAGGCTTATTTGTAGGTTTAGGTCCAAGGTGCGGGTTAATCCGTTGTGCTTGTATTTGTGTGTGTTTTTTTTGCTGGGTTCTATCTCGTGACAGAAGTGCTTGTATTTGTGTGTTTTTTGCTGGGTTCTATCTCGTGGCAGAAGTGTTGAAATTTGTAGTTTTCCTTCGTGATCGCAGGTTTGTATGTGAGCGTGTTTCCAGGAAGGTAACCAGTTAACTGGTGATGATATGGAGTGCTACTACCTCTGGCCCACTTGAAGGCTCATGGGACTTAGTAAGTAAGGTTATAAGTAAGTTATAATTAGGATAACCCCACTTAGGGGACTTATGACTCCAATTATAACCTACTTACTAAGTCCCATGATCCTCTACCCTAAGGGTCCAAGTACCCAAATACTAGGGTTTCAAGGTCCAAAAACCATTCAGGGTATGGATTTTGGGATCTAAAACCCTACTATTTGGGTACTTGGACCCTCTGGGCTAAGTAGCCTGTGGCAAGTCTGGAGACGACCTGTTCCAATGGCCACGCTTGCAGCCTTCTGAGGGCGTTCAGAGCACGAGGCTCCCCCTTGGCAAGCACTTGTGGGATTCTTTGAGCAGGGCACCTTTCAATTATTGGGGGGGGTTCCTTAGTATAACAATAGTATAAAGGGCCCCGGAACCCTTTTCTAATTATTAAGGCCCTTATACTACATGGTTATCCGGAGACTTGGGCGTAGATCCCGGAAAGCAAAAAAAGGCTGCTTTCAAGTATCCCCACATGGTCACGGCTATGTTCATACATGCCCCAAACCTGCTTTTGATTCGTCAAGCCTCGTGATCTGTTGAGGCTACGGAGTTTCCGAAACTAAGACACATAGCATGGATGCTGCATAAGCAGGACCCGTACTCTAAAGACTCAAG